GACTGCATACACTGTCATACAGTATGAAGTGAAGTGACCACATACACTGTCATACACACAGTGTGAAGTGAGGTGACCACATACACTGTCATACACACAGTGTGAAGTGAGGTGACCACATACACTGTCATACACACAGTGTGAAGTGAGGTGACCACATACACTGTCATACACACAGTGTGAAGTGAGGTGACCACATACACTGTCATACACACAGTGTGAAGTGAGGTGACCACATACACTGTCATACACACAGTGTGAAGTGAGGTGACCACATACACTGTCATACACACAGTGTGAAGTGAGGTGACCACATACACTGTCATACACACAGTGTGAAGTGAGGTGACCACATACACTGTCATACACACAGTGTGAAGTGAGGTGACCACATACACTGTCATACACACAGTGTGAAGTGAGGTGACCACATACACTGTCATACACACAGTGTGAAGTGAGGTGACTGCATACGCTGTCATACAGTGTGAAGTGAGGTGACTGCATTGTCATACACACAGTGTGAAGTGAGGTGACTGCATACACTGTCATACACACCGTGTGATGTGAGGTGACTGCATACACTCTCATGCACACAGTGTGAAGTGAGGTGACTGCATACACTGTCATACACACAGTGTGAAGTGAGGTGACTGCATACACTCTCATGCACACAGTGTGAAGTGAGGTGACTGCATACACTGTCATACAGTGCGAAGTGAGGTGACTGCATACACTCTCATGCACACAGTGTGAAGGGAGGTGACTGCATACACTGTCATACAGTGCGAAGTGAGGTGACTGCATACACTCTCATGCACACAGTGTGAAGGGAGGTGACTGCATACACTGTCATACAGTGCGAAGTGAGGTGACTGCATACACTCTCATGCACACAGTGTGAAGTGAGGTGACTGCATACACTGTCATACAGTGTGAAGTGAGGTGACTGCATACACTCTCATGCACACAGTGTGAAGTGAGGTGACTGCATACACTGTCATACAGTGTGAAGTGAGGTGACTGCATACGCTGTCATACAGTGGGAAGTGAGGTGACCACATACACTGTCATACACACAGTGTGAAGCGAGGGGACTGCATATGCTGTTATACAGTGTGATGTGTGCTGACCACATACACTATCATACACACAGTGTGAAGTGAGGGGAGAGCTGAGCTTGGGCATCTTAAAGTGTTTTGTTTATCTACCTGCTATACTGGGAAGACCAGTTAGACTTAATGATTTTGCATTTAACCTTTCTTTAATTTTCTGTAAAAAGTCAGATTGATAATTATAAAGCTATATTTTGTACATAAGCATTTCTAAATGTTCCCTTGCCCTTCTGTGGTAAGTTATTGCCTCATTTATAATGTTCAGTATCATGAGATGAGGAGAGAACTAGACCCAGCTGTTCTAATGAAAAATTAATGTAGAGTTCTGTGATTCAGGAGTTTGTTTCACTCTTTTTCATTAGAAATTAACCTTTAGGATATGGGATAAGAAAGTCTTATTTGAAAATTTACCTTACAGAGAATTATGGGAAATAGTTTTCTTTGTTTTCTGTCTCTGGAGAAAGGAGACTTGTTTAGTTTCTTTTTTGGTGGTATTTGTTTTATTCTTTTGGCATGTTCTTGCAACACACCCCAGGCTGGCCAAGAACATGTTCTACAGCCCAGGCTGACCTCTAACTTAAGAGTCCTCCTGCCTCAGGTGTGTACTGGCATGCCTGCCAGTACAGTTTCTTTCCAAATATTTCTGGATGGTGGTTGTATTTGTTTTTTTGAGACAGAGTGTCATGTACCTGAGGCTGGCCTTGAACTCCCTATACAGCCAAGGGTGACCTTGAATTCTGATCCTCCTGCCTTTGCCTCCTGAATGATAGGATCACAGGTGTACCTCACCACCCCTGGTGTTTATGAGGCTGGAGATGGAACCCAGGGCTTTGTGTAGCCCGGCAGGCACTCTGCAAGCTTAGCTGCAGCCTCTCCATTGGATGGTGTTTCTTGAAGTCTCTTCAGGAAGTGATAGCATGGGCATTTACTTGCTTAGTTGCTCTGGTGTAGGACTAGCTTTCCATGCAACTGCCCTTTGTGAAACCACTAATCAGACTAACAAAGCTTAAGGCTTCTGTGAGTAGAAATTATCAGAATACAGTTTGTAAACTTGCCTGTTGTTTTGTTGCATATAATGTATAATAGGAATAGTCTCTGAATCTGGAAAATTACAATATGTTGCATAGTATTTTTAGTTATTGCTGCTCTCTTCCTGAGTACCTTTTCTACTTCTGAGCACATTTAATTTGTTATAGGCAGTATTGTGGCTTCATTCATCTCTGCCAGCAGTTCTAAAGCAAGATTTGAGAAATAGGGATTTGGGGCATGACTAACTAGAGAGTTCAACTGAGTATTTGAACATTAAGTGACTTTCTTTCCCTTCTCCTTCCCCTATTTCTATTTCTAGGTAGTAGAGAAATGATAATAAGGGTTCTGGAACTGCTTACAGAGGATACAGTGCTGACTGGACAGGCAATTTCAGCCACTCTCTGGGATGATAGCAGCCTTTTTGCTATAGATATGGTGAGAATCTTCATTTTCTTTAGCATATGAGTGCTATATTTTAAAAACATTGATTCTCTTAGGTTGGCTTCATTGTCTTATTAGTCTCTGAAAACCCTTTTATTTATTTTTTTTCCTTTGTTTCCTCCCATGTGGTTGGAATTTTCAAGTTTTTCCTTTTATAAAAATCAATTTAATTTTGCCTTTAAAAAACTATTACATTATTTTATTGGGGGCTCACATGTGGAAGTCATAGGACAACTTGCTGGGAATTAGTTCTTTCCTTCCAGCTTGTGGGTTTCAGGAGTTGGACTCAGGTTGCCAGACTTGGCAGTAGCTGTCTTAGCAGTCAAGCCATCTCCCCATCCCTACTTCTGAATTTTGAATTATAGTTAGAATCTCCTCATAAATTAAAAGCTACTACACATTCCTAAAGTCTACATTTTTGTATTTCAGGAATTTTTCTCATGTCTAGGTTTTATACATTTCTTATTTATATATGTGTGCTTTTGAATGTTTAACTTGCTTTTGAACTAAAATAAGCTGCACATGTTTAATATCATTCATAGATTTTGATATAGGTATACACTTGTGATATATGTTAATTTGGAGTCTCTAAAATTTTATGCGGATGAGCTCATTCAGTTGTCTACTTTTTTGTGGATCTTTTGGTATGGTGCGTGGATGCACAGTTGTGTTGCATGTCAGTAGTTCTTTGATGTTGGAGTACTATTGCATTATGTGGCATCTGCTGACCTGTTGTGCTGGTTAGTTTTTGTCAGCTTGATAAACCTAGACATACCTGGGAAGAAGGAGTCTCAACTGAAGATCTGCTTCCACCAGATAGGCCTTTGATCATGTCTGGGGGCCATGATCAAAGGGAAGGTTCTTCCCTCTCTGAATGGTGCCATTCCTGGATGGCTGGGCCTGTGCTGAGTAAGAAAGGTAGCTGATAAAATAAACCATTTCCAACAGACATTACTGTTGGTTATCCTATGTTCTAAAAATTGCTGTAGTGAGGGCAAGAAGTCAGAAGCTCATCAACTGAGAGACTTTCAGTCGGGACCTTAGCATGACTGCTTCTTCTCCAGCTGATCTCTGCTGCATGCTGTAAGCCCCAGCGTACATTTGATGGCGTTGCCTTTGTTTGCTCTCTTAGTCAGTCATCTCTACTGATTTGGTGGTGCTTTACTGTCTGTCTCTTGCTCCTGTTTATCTGGTTCTTTCTATTTGTTTACATTTACTTGTTACATACTTAATAAACTCACTCACTTGAAACCTAAAAACAGAAAAAAACCAAAAAACAAAAAAGTAGCTTAGTGAGCCAGGGGAGCCAAGCCAGTAAGGAGCATTCCTCTGTGGTTTCTGCTTCAGGCTTCTGCCTTGGCATCCCTCATTGGTGGACTATGTAACTATACTGTGTAAACTAGAATAAACTTTTCCTCCCACATTGCTTTTGGTCATGGTGTTTACTGCAGTAACAGAGATCAAACCAGGATACTGTGGCCGTTCCTGTGGATCATTTCTAGTTTTTAGTTATTACACTTAATGTTTCTGTGGATATTGCAGATGCTTAGCATTTTATCCAGCATTTAGTATGCTCAGTAAAAAAAATTTTTTTTGATAGATGTGTAATACTATGTTACTTACTTTTAATTTAAATTTCCCAAGTGACAGAACCTATTGACCACTTTTTGTAGCTCCCAGTGAACAAATCTTCATGTGAAGAAACACTTATTCCTAAATGTTTTGTTCTTTTTCTTTTTCTTTTTTTTTTTTTTTTGGTCTTTTTGAGACAGGGTCTCCCTGTAGCCCCAGCTGGCCTGGAACTCACTATGTAGACCAGGCTGGCCTTGAACTCACAAAGATCCACCTGCCGAGTGCTGGCACTAAAGGCATGCACTACCACGCCCAGCATTTATTCTTTGTTCTTTTTTTTGAAAATAATATTTTTATTTGTTCTTTGAAATCTCATATGTTTATGTCACTGCAAATGAAGTTTGGAAATTCATTGTTTGAATTCCTAGAATATAAAAATACAAGTGAATTTTGTCTATTCATCTTTTATTCTCTGATTTTGTTGTACTAAGATAGCATTATCTCTTCTTAGCCAGTTCAGATGCCCTTTAATATCTTTTTGTTTTCCCATTGTACTATGGGAGTAGATGTGCTGAGAGCCTTGTTCCCTGGCCTAGGGAACTAGTCAGTCTTTTTTTTTGAGGGGGGGAGGGGTCTTTTTGAGATAGGGTCTCCCTGTAGCCCCAGCTGGCCTGGAACTCACTATGTAGACCAGGCTGGCCTTGAACTCACAGAGATCCGCCTGCCTCTGCCTCCCGAGTGCTGGGATTAAAGGCGTGCGCCACATGAATGGATATTGGATTTTGTCCCATTTTTTTCTGTGTCTATTAAAATAATTCTTGGTTTTTGAGAAGTTATTTGTTTATGTACTTGAGACACAGTCTTGCTAAATGACCCATACTGGTCAGGAGCTCAAGATTTCCTGCCTCAGCTTCCCTAGTGCTGAGATTATAGGTATGTATCATCGCATCGTGCCTGGCTGAATATTGTACTATGTGTCTTGCCTTTAAAAAAAAAATTGTCTTTTTATAATTGGGATCTGTTCTAACAAGTGGTTAAACTACGTGCAGAGCAGTCTCATTTCCATGAGGCCTATTTAAAGTTTGCTAGAAAGGGTCTCCAACATTGGTGTTAAAACGAGGCAGTTTTGGTCTCCAGTGGGCGTTTGGCAATGTCTAGAGACATTTTCACGTGCCTTAGCTAGAGTGGTGCTAGCATCTAGTGGACAGCCAGGACAGATCTTCAGAAGAAATCTGTTTTTAGCTGAAAGTGCTAGTAGTGTCAAAGCTGAGGATTCACAGTCTTAGAGTAACCTCTTTAAATGGGGTTTGACTCTAGTCCTGGGTGAGTTATGGCCCCCTGGGACCCCTACCAGATATCTGGAGTTATTTTTGATGACTTGACTCTGACTAGTTGAGGCTTGAATCTTTTCTTGTCCTGTCTGTGTCCTGGGATTTGCTCACTTGTAAAACTCAGTGGTTAGACTTGGTCCTCATTTATGGAGTTTGTAGCTGCAACTCAAAACACCTGTCTCAGTAGAGACCGCTGGAGCTGTGCATAGCTCTCATGTCTGGTCCTTTGTCTCACAAGCTCTCATTACCTGAACTTCCACCTTAAGCCATTATGACTGTTGGACTCCTTGTATGTCGCTTGTCTCTGCTTGCTATGTACTAAGTGTTTGCAGACATAGTAGGCCCTTCATTTCCTATTTTTCTTCCTCCTGACATCACTGTCCTGAACAGTTCACTCTTCACTATTAATTGTTTTCATTATTTTGTGCAATTTATTTGTTGTTTCTTAGGAAAAAGAATTAGTCCTTGCTATTATTTTATAGCCCAAAGTAGAGGTTTTAAATTATGCTATTTATTACGCAATGTCCTCACTTCCTGGAAGTTACCAGGGTTTTAATTGTTCAGTTCTCATAGTGTAGATTCTGGATCTGTCTTAGAATCATTCCATGTGTGGACAAATGCCTTATTCTTTGCTCTTTCTTATTTCATCTGGGGAGATCATTTCAGAAATGTACAATAGCAAGAATGTTTTAATATTCAAAAGATCTGTAGGCTATCATAGTATGGTTATTATTATTATTAATTAGTTTGGGACTGGGGATTGAACCAAGGGCCTTGCACATGTTTTACAAGCATTCTACTACTGAGATACAACCTCAGCCCCCAGAATATGTCCTTACTGGAAGCCCTATTTTTTTTTTTTTTTGACATTTCAATGTATCACAAATCATTTGTTATTTATATCTTTTATTTTGAAGTTATTATCTGATAAATTTATGTTTCCTGAATAAATGATATTCTCTCCTGTTGATATCAGTTGATAATGTTCATTCTCTCTTTGTTTCCTTTTTTGATTATTTTGCTATGGAAGTATAATTTACTAGTCATATAGAAATATATATTGCCTTTTAAAAATTGTTTAGTTTATTTGTTAGTGCTGGGGATCAAACCCAAGGCCTTCCTAGCCTGGGCAAGTTCTCTACCATTGAGCTATATCCTCAACCCATATGTTGACTTAATAGATACTCAGTTTTCTTTGTTATCATGATTATGTCTGTCTATATTTTAAGCTTTGTTGTGGGCTTTTAGAATTCCTTATGAACAGAAGTCAGAACATAAAATGTAAATAAAATACATAATATAGATATTTACATAATACTAGTACATATCTATATTAGTTAGCTTTCTGTCACTATAATGAAATACTGGAGATAATGTGTCAAGTGAAAAAGGTTATTTTGACTCACAGTTTTGAAGCTTCCAGTCTGTGATTGAGTGGACTCAGTTGCTTTGGGCTGCTGGTAGGTACACTTGATAGCAATGATGGGAAGTTTGTAACATTATCCTGAATACCTCATAGCTAGGAAGCAAAACAAAAGGGGAAGAGGTTGAGGTTCCTTAGTCTCCTTCAAATGAAAGTTTCTAATGGTATAAGGGTTTTGACTGGGCCCAACCTCCCAGTAGTGTCACTCTGCGGACCAAGCCTTTAACACATAGACCTTTGAGAATGTTAAGCATTTAAATATATAGCACTGTGTGTACAGATATCTAAGTTTTTATTTTTATTTTTTAATGATACATGTGTCTTAAGAGAAAAAATGACATATCTTAATTGGTATGTTTTCAAGCCCTTCATTTTCTTTTACAAAAAGTATTTATGTGTATGTTTATTGTCTGCATGTATGTAAGTGCATTTGTGTTATACAATGCCTATGGGGTTCAGAAGAGGTCATCAGATCCCCTGGAACTGAAGCTACGGATGGTTGTTAGTCGCCACATGGGTGCTGGGAACTGAACCTGGGACTTCTACAAGAACAGCCAGTGCTCTTAACTGCTGAGCCATTTTTCCAGCTACCCCCCCCAAATCCTTTAAAAAAAATTTTATTATTTTATTTTTTATTTTATATGTGTTTATTTTATATGTGTTATTTTATATTTTTTATTAAAAATATTTTATTTTTTATTTTATATGTGTTGCCTGTGTATATGTAAGTGCACCTGTGTCATGCAAAAAGCCCATCACTTTCTGATAGTAGGGTTTTGTTTGTTTGTTTTTTTGAGACAGTCTCATGCATCCTAATTTCAAGTATCTCTGATTAAGGATGATCTGGAACATAAGCTCCCATCCCCAGGTTTTGCAGTGCTGAGGATTAAACCTAGGGCTTCATGCATGCTAGACAAGCACAGGACTGACTAAACTACATCCCTCATCCCTAATAATGGTTCTTTATCTTGCTTTTTCTTTAAAGTAGTCACATTTTTTTACAGTACATTTTTTAAAAAGGAGATTTTCACATATTGAAGCTTTTCAGCAAGTGATTTTTTTTTTTCCACCTAGAAATGTGAGGAATGGTTTATCAGTTGCTTCTTAAATTAACTTAAAGATTCTTGGCCAGAACATTTATCTGTGAAAGTTAGTCATTCACTTTCTACTATTGGCTGCTGGTCTTTTCTGATTTAATGAATTATTTTTACTTTAAAGGTTAAATCTGTTGTATAAGTACCAATTGGTATGTTAGAAATGCTAGATCAAATATTGCTGCATGAAGTTATATATGACTTATTTAAGAAGATAAATACTTCCTTGGGGGTATTTATTATTTTTATTTTATGTGTATGAGTGTATTGCCTTACATGTATGTAAGTGCACCTATATTGTACATTGTCCACAGAGGCCAGAAGAGGTCATCAGAGCCCTTGGAACTGGAGCTGTGGACTGTTGTTAACCACTGTGTGGGTGCTGGGAACAGAACCTGGATCCTCTGCAAGAGCAGCCAGTGCTCTTAGCCTCTGAGCCATCTCTCCAGCCCCCTATTCTATTTTTGAGAATTCCATACATGAATATTGTATTTGCATTATTTCCATTCCTCTCAGTCCCCCTCCTTCTTCCATGTCCCTCCAACTCCCTCTTGATTTTTTGTTCACTTCTTTGAATACTGTTGTTACATGTACATACATGCATTTATAAATACACACACACAGAGTCCATTTAGTGGTGCCCATGTGTACCTGTGTTTAGGGCTGCCTACTCTGGATTAGGTAACATCTCAGAGCTAACCCCTGGAGAAAACTGATTCCCCCTTCCTCAGCATCCATTGATTCCCTGTAGCTCTTCATCTTGAGGTAGGACCCATGAAATTTCCCCCATCCACTTTGGCATGTCAACTGGTTTTGTCATTATACAGATCTTGTTAGACTACATTTTAAATCGAGTAAAAAACTAAAATTCCTTAATGTTCATACTTCTGTAAACTTAGCATGAAAGGTAGAGGTGCTAGAGAGATGGCTCAGAGATTTGTAGAGGACCTGGGTTTGATTCCCAGGACCCACATGCCGACTAACAACTACCTTTAATTCCAGTTCCAGGGAATCCAACACCCTCCTCTGGCCTCTGCGGGTATTATATGCACAGGTGCACTTACATACGTGCAGGAAAAAAACACATAAAATTTTAAAAAGATGAAGGGTAGAATATTTTTTTTGAGTTATGAAAGGAGTAGCACGCTGTATTGTTATCAATTTAGAAATTAAGTACTTGGGGCTGGAAAGATGGCTCAGTGGTTGGGAATGCTGGTAGATCTTGCAGAAGACCCGGGTTCGAAACCCAGCACCCACATGGCAGCTAACAGCTGTCTGTAACTCCAGTCCCAGGGGATCTGACAGCCTCTTCTGACCTCCGCCCGCATTGCACAACATGGGTGCACTTACCGACATGCAGGCAATACACGCATACACATAAAATAAAAATAATTAAAATTAAAAAAATTAAGTACTTGACGATATATAATCAATTATCTATATTTCTCCAAATAGTTCATCACTTAACAGTCCTTAACACAGTTTAGTAATGTTTCCCTTAGAACTGAATATTCTTATTTCACTTGAAGTAAATAAGAGAAAACTTACTTTGTTTTTATTTAATAGATCATATCTTGATAAGAATTTGTCAAACTTAGATTGTCCTAGAGTGCATTATTCTTTTTCCCATACAAAATCAAGTCTGCAGTTTTCTTTCTTTGCATGGCAAGTCAGATCAAGGAGTCAGACCTGTGTCTTTTATTCAGATACCTTCATACTCCTGGGTTGCCCTCCTTTGTTTTTGTTCATTTCTTCCCCATGTCACTGCTGTCACTGTAATGCACTGAGAAGCACTTCTTGCCCCATCTTCATGAAGAACTGCTTCTGGTCTCAGCTAACTTGCTATGAGCTGCTCTTTCTTAGTTTGCAGGTTATTTTTGTTTCGGGTTCATAGATACTGTGTTGAGACTAAGGATTCCAGTGCCTATTTTTAACAGTCTGCTGTACCATGTTTTTGAGGCTATTCTTTACCAGGTACTTTTTGAGGGCATGTCAGTGTATTTAAAATATATTTTGGTCTATATTGCCATGACTTGGCAAATTAGTTTATTTATGCTTTATGTTTTTCTTTATATTTTCTGTATACCTTTCAATTTCAAAGGCATAATGCCTATTTAAGTAGTCAGTTTCATGGAAACTTAAAATGGCAAGACGTTTTCCACTTGAAACAGCTTTATTACCTGAAAAGAAAGTTGACATTTGATAATTTTTATTTTTTTAGTAATTTGGCTTGTTTTATTATGTAGTAACTTGAGGATACATCTCTTACCCCTCCCCCATTATACTTACCTTTGTATTTGACACTCATTAATTCTGCTGGACACATAAAGAGGTGTCTACAAAGTGTGTTTCCCAAGTCAGAAAAATTAAGCGCTGGAAACAAGGAGACATTTATAGCTCATTAAACTTTTGTACTTTTTTTTTTTGCCTTTTTGAGACATGGTCTCCCTGCTGCCCCAGGCTGGCCTTGATTTCACAGAGATCCACCTGCCTCTGGAATTAAAGGCATGTGCCAGCCTGGCTGTTTTGTGTGTGTGTGTGTGTGTGGGGGGGTTTGAACCAGTGACCCCTGCACAGTGATGATTGGGGATGAGTAAGCGTGCCCTTTGCCAGCCCTTGCTGCCCCCAGTACCGGGGACACTCAGGCGCAACAGGGAGCCTAGTCAAGCAGGGATTCATTTATTGCAGGTGTTACAGAGCTTATAAAGGCATCTGGAAATCCCCCTCCTCCCTGAGGGTGTATCTTAAGGATGGTCACGCAGGCTGATGGTCCTTCAGACTTTCAAAACAAGTCAGGCCCCGCCCCAGTAACTTCCTCTCGGACCTCTGCAAGGTGGGGCCTTTAGGTCCCCACACTTTTGTACTTTTTGTTATCAGATATTCACTATTTTGAATAAGGGAAGTAAGTTTTTGTATCGGTTTGCTAATGATAATATTTTAATAAAGTTTTAACTGTTCTCAATGACATTTGAAAAATTACTACTAAAATTGCTAAAATTGGCCTCTTACTCAGTTTTGTGTTGTTTGAATGGTTTCAGAAAGAGAAGCTGATCCTAGTGTTGGGATCCCTTGGAGAAACCATGTGCTGTCGTAAAGCTAGCTTTAGCTTGGAACAAGCAGAGGCAGTGCTGGTGCAGCACAGGATGGCCTTTGTCAGCATTGCACTGTTCTCAGTCCGCCTGCTACAAACGCTTCTCCCTGTTGAAAAGGTAAGGCAGACAGTGATGCGTGCATGTCCTTTACTGAATATTGTAAATAAATGGCCACTTCCTGGTGTGAAGGAATTCCATTTTAGACTATTTTCCAAATTGATGTGATACAGTGATTTAAGAGAGACATAGAATGTGTGCTGGCACATTGAATACTTTTAGAAATTAGGTAATTTTTCACTTTCATGACTGTTTTGAGTATGTTTTAATTTTCTACATTCATTTAAATGAATAATTTTCACTTTAATCGATATTTATTTGATTGCCTGTAGCCAGCTATCAGGATTAGAAACTAATGTAGAACTGAATAAGTTAGAGTTGGTCTAACAGAACTTAGTCTTGTTTAAAAGACAAGGCTTGCTGTTATCTAATATATACATTTATATGATTGACTTAACTGGTTTCTTTAATAACTTTGGGGTCACATAGAGGATAAGGCTCGTATCTTCTATTCTGATTTGTTTTCTCCTGTTAGCCTAACCTCTTAAGCACATACCAAACCTCATAGTTACCTCAGCTATTTAGAGACAGACATGCACATTTAAGTAGTATACTTTTTTCCCCCCTCAGAAAGGCTGCAAAATCTGGCTTTTATTTATTTATTTATTTATTTTAATATATATTTTTAAATTGTTTTAGAAGAAGCATTTCATTACAGTTTTAATGTATTCCATAACAGTTTTCAGAGCACAGATACATATCTTTGAAAAGTGGCTATAAAATTTTTAGGTTCACTGTTGAATTAATACAGTTATACAATATTGAACTCAGTATAAACCCTGTAAGACATAAAATTGAATGAGTTTATAACCTTTAGAAAAGATCTCCATTTCATTTTAAAATATACTGTTTCTTATAAAAAGACTCATTGTTTTTGTTAATAACACTTAGTTCTTGGCGCATGCATCTCTAGTCTGTCTGTATCTGATTATTACTAGTCATAATTGGTTGCACTCGGATCCTTGGCACCTGTGTATGTCTATAAAGTCATCAGTAGATTTCAGTGGTAATGTTTACCACCTCTACTAATTAATATGACGTAAATTTTTGTACTTCCTCCTCAAATATAATTCATTTTTTAAAATTTGTTGATTTTTTTTGTGTGTATATCACACAGAATATCCCAAACCATCTTATTCATCTATACACCCACTTCCCAGATCGCGCCCTCCCATAGCCTCCCTCCCCCGACTAGAGCCCTTATACTCTGTCATCCCTGCTACTGTCTGCTGTGTTGTCAGCACCCCCAGCTGTTCCCATTACTTGTCCATCTGGTGAATCTAGTCAGCCTATCAAGAGGTCTTTGTTATAGGAAAGTCAGTTGTTCCTCATCTAGCAGCAATCAGTTGTCACTATTCCTTCAGATAAGATTGGGGTCTGTTCTTCATTTTCTCAGTTCTATGCTGGGTTATTGTCTGGGAGTCCCTTTGGCCACCCTGGCCAACAACTCAAAAGAAGGTATCTCCTATCTGGCATTGTTGCTTGTTGTGTAGCCTTTAGCTATGCATATGCACTCTAAAGAAATTATATTGGCTCCTTTAATCTTTGGTTATACTTTCCTTTTGGGTGTTCAAGGCCATACAGTTGGCCCAGATAAACCAATTTATTTTTACTCTTAAGGCCATTTGAGGATCTGTTCCTCAGGGGTCACATGGGCTTGGGAGGAGCCCCTGGCTCCTTTCTTTTCCCAGTTCCGCCTATGTGAAGATAAGTCAAAGGTCCTCCTCGACCATGGCTAAAAGTATACTAAGAGTTTATAGCTCTTAGTAGACTTTTTAAAAAATAATTATTTTTTATTTTATATGTATGAATATATTGTCTGCATGTATATAATTGCACCCATGTCCTGCAATGCCCTTGGAGATCAGAAGAAGGCATTGGATCCCCTGGACCTTGAGTTAGGATAGTTGCTAGCTGCCATGTGGGCGCTGGGAATCAAACCTGGGTCCTCTGTAAGAGCAGACAGTGCTCTTGACTGCTGAGCCATCTCTCCAGCCCCTTAATTAGTATACTATTTAATTGAATGGATGCTATTAAAAATTACCCATCTTGTCATTACTGCAAGGGTATGTGTTGCTCTTGGTGGTTACCATTCCTGGCAGGGTCACCTGCTGCCTCTATACAGCTAGGCAGAGTTCTTTACCCACCCACCATTTCCAAAATTCCCTGACACATATAATACATTGTTTCCAGTTTTTCAGAGACTGTGTCCTAATTAGCATATGTTAATACCATCTCTTTCTCTTGTTTTTCCTTTTCAAAACTAAAGCAGTGTGGTAGTTTCTAAGTGTTGATCAGGTTGGTTTTTTAAGACTATTCTATTTCTTATATTTGTCATTAGTTTTCTATGTATCAGTAGCATGTTCTATTTTTAGTAACTTCTGTGATTTATTGATTTATTTTGGTTTTGGACAGCACACATACATACCTCTTCAAGGTTTTGCTTGCCTCCTTTTTACAGGCAGCATAATGACGACATTTTATTTGTCAGCTTACCCAAAGCATTTAAAGAAACATGCCTGTTAGTGTTAACTACCATGGAGGAGAGATGACTCAGTGTTTAAGAGTTCATGCTTCTCTTTCAGAAGGACTGAAGTTTGGTTCCTAGCACCTACATTAGGCAGCTCACAACCACTAGTAACTCCAGCTCCGTGAGATCTGATGTCCTCTTCTGGCCTTGGCTGGCATCCCTCACACCCACACACAAAATAAAAATAATGAATCTTAAAAAAAACCTTGCTCTTTGACTCATCTGGTTAATATTTAATACTTGGTCATTTGTTTTAGTAGCTAAGCTATATACATAGTTTAAGTTAATTATATGAATTCATGTTTAAGTATGCCTTATTTTGTTTTTATTATTTTTGGTATGTCTTTTAAAAGTTCTTTTGGGATCAACATATTCCTATCCAAAACTTTTTCTGTCCTTGATATTATTAAACTTTTTTTCCTGTGCTAGACTTTATTTTAATACTTTTCTCATTTACTTTTGTGCTTTAACCCTTTCTTAAACATTGGTCTTTTTATCCAGAAAATAAAATAATCAAGTAGAAAACATTTTAATGTGCAAACAATTCATATTTATGATTTCACATTACTTTGACATTCCCTTTTCTTTTTCACTTACAGTTAAATTGAGAGCATAAATACAAATTATGCTTTTATCACTCATTATTATGTAATGCACATTTTCCACTTAATTAGGCACTTCATAAATTTTAATGAATACTAGTATTTTACCATTAAGATGTCCCATAATTTGAAAAAAATCCTTCTAGAAATCATTCAGATGTTTTTAGTATTGTACGGAGTTAGGTTTTGTCTACACATATTTATTCGTATTTCGATTAAATTCTTACTGTATTACAGGATCAAATTGAGCATGCAAAATTTGTTTTTATTACAAATGTAATTTGAAAGCATTACAGTTCCACAAGTTTTTGTAATTTCTACTGATGAATAAGTGAAAAAAGTATTGCATGGAAGAGATAATTGTCATCTTATGTGTGGGAAAATTGTTAAAAAGATGTACTTCTGAAAAGTTGAAACAAGGTGGAAATGCCAGAGCCAGGATCTCTTCTATCTATGGCTAGTTACTATTTCTAAGATTATACAATATGGTACCTTAATTAGGCCATTTAAAATTTTAAATTATTTTTAACACAGTCAAAAAACCATATTCTGTAAATGGGTTTTTTTTTTTTTGGTAACTTTTTTGTTATAGTATAGCATATGTTCAGGAAAGTATACAGTTAAATACATTTCTACCAAGTGAATGTAATGTATCTTTAAAAAGTGACCACCTCCTCAGACTTATAGATAGAACAATACCAGCAAGCAGGTCCCAGGCTTCTCTCTTCTCATCCGTTACTTCTCCTCATTTTCCCTACTAAACTTCAAGAAGAACTTTCATTAATGTGGATCAGTTTGTTTTTGAAGGTTATTTAAATGGAACTGTAAAGTATATAATTGCTCAAATGTTTGTCTTTTGAGCTTTATTACTGTTGTTGCTTATAGAAGTAATTTGCTAATTTTTATTACAAAATGCTGTTTTACTCTATTAATATATGCAAATGGTATATCACTCATTATTATCTCTTAATATATATACTCTTAATATATACTAACCATATATCTTAGTTAATATATGCTAATATATATGATTTATATCAATAATATTTATAAAAAATTTAATAGGTTTAAATATTCTTATAAATATTATTGATATAAATCATATGTGTTTTATTTCTTTATTGACTGATGGTGTGCACTGTGGCATGACCATGGAGACCAGAGGGCAACTCTTAGGAATTGATTCTCTTTTTCTGCCATGTGGGTCCCAGAGATTGAATTTAGGTTAGCAGGCTTGGCAGCAGGTGCCTTTATCAGCTGAGCCATATCAGTGGCCCTGACTATACTTTTTAAATTTTAATTTTATTATTATTTTTTAATATGTATGAGTGTATTGCTTGCATGTGTGTAAGTGCATCTCTGTTGTGCAATGCCAGAAGATGTCAGATTGCCTGGAACTGGAGTTAGGATGGTTGTTAGCTGCCATGTGGGTGCTGGGAATCAAACCCAGGTCCTCTGCAAGAGCAGTCAGTGCTCTTAACCACTGAGCCATCTCTCCATCCCTCTGACTATATTTTTAAATGTGAGATTATACACCTGAATTTGACTATTAATGATGAAATGTCTCATGTGATGATATATGAATGTTATTACTAAAAGAAAGATTTGGCTCTGTCACATGATGGTGTGGGAGAAGTCATGTCATGGCAGCTGCAGAACTACTTCCTGGGCTTTTGTGGTTCTTAGTTGCTCACCATCTGAGTTGTGCTCCCAGTATTCTGTAGAGAATATAGTCTAAATTCTTTTTTCTAATAATATTTCACATGTGCAATATATTGCCTTGTCGTTTGGGGAAACAATAAAATATGACATTTAAGACACTTATTTTGCTTTATGGAAAAATAGCATTATTTCTGTGAAGTTTAAAATATAGAACCCTAAGACAGAGCTTGGCCCTCACGAAATACTCTATTTGTGATCTTTTTTTCTTTTTTTGGTCTTTTTGAGACAGGGTCTCCCTGTAGCCCCAGCTGGCCTGGAACTCACTGTGTAGACTAGGCTGACCTTGAACTCACAGAGCTCCGCCTGCCTCTGCCTCCTGAGTGCTGGGACTAAAGGCATGCACCACCACACCCTCTATTTGTGATCTTTAAACGCCACCTACTTGTTTATACCTCCTAGAGTATGTTTCCAGACAAGACAGCCAGATCACTTGAACTCCAAGAGTGTGCACGTGTTTTATCTCCACTGTCCTTTTGTTATTTGTTTTGAAAGTCATTATTTTTTTTCACTGTTTTTGTTTCTGAAGACAAGCCAATAGCTTTAATTTGGGGGAGTACATTCATTCATTTAACATAACTGCAGTAGAACAATTTTAGTCATTATAGAAAATTGTAATTAAGGTATTTCTAGTTTATATGGTTATATCCAAATACATTAAACTGAGATCTAATAAAAAATGCTCTTCCATTGCTCAAAATTTCTTCCTTTTATATAAATGTGAGGTTTTGCTGCCCTCTGCCTGTGACTAGCCCACTAACAACTGCAGTAGAATTTCAGCTCTGAACTTTTCATGTTCACTGTGGTTTTTCTTAGAAATTGACATTTGTTGATTTTTAAATAACTTGAAGAGTATTCATATATAGGCTAAAATGTTGCTAATTGTATGAAAAATATTTCAGTTAGGCAAGCTAAATTGGTAGATTAAATGAAGGTAATTTCATCTGGGTAAACATCTGGGGAAAATAAACCCCTGTAATACTGGCCTGTGCTAGAAGTGGGATCAGAGTGTATTCTGGGAACTGCTGCTGCTGTTTCTCAGCTCACCAAGCAGAACTAAGAGTAAGAGGGAAGGTATACCAGAAGTCTTTGGGCTTTCAGTGAGATTGGTAAGATCTGATGATGGGTGTGGCTAAATGATTCAGAGCAGTACATTTTGAAGTTTAATGTGCATGCAGATCTCATAGAGATCTTGTTAATCCTGCCTTCCATGTGCTGATTCATCAGGGTAGGGGTGGGGGTCTGCATTGCTAATTCACTTATTTTATTGAATTTGGTCTTTCTGTGATCATCACATCCACCCCCACCCCAAGCAGTGCTGGGACACAGGGCCTTCCTTGTGCTTGCTAGGCAAGCACTCTCCACTGAGCCAAATCCCTAATCCCAAAAGTCTTCATTTCTAACAGACTCTTAAATAGTGTTTGTGCCATGCAAGGTTGAATTTGTGCTTTTAGTATGCTGCTTTATGTTGCTGATGTAACAGACCTTCAGCAGATGTGCACAGTGAAATGTCAGAATTCCTTCATGAGGAGAAAAGAGGAAAGAAAAGAGATGAATATTTATTAAGTGTTGTATACTCTGTTCTTTGCTTTATGCTTAATTCTCACACTGTTTTTAGTTTTCTGACTAGAGTAAAAGAATACTCCTTTAAAATATGGTGGCCATAGAGTTAGATTCTCTAGGTTATATTATTTTAGTACAATGTTAATTTCACGAGCTCTCCTTCATTTGTTCATCTTCCTAATTCTTTATAATATAAAAATTCTTTATAATATTAAAGAGTGACCAGGAAATATCTTTCTGCTTGTGTTCTTTAAATGTTGTCTACTTGTTTTTGACTCCTGGATTTGTGTTTCCAGGCACCCCTCCCTCCACACACACACTCTCTCTCACACAGGCATATATAAATTATGTATCTCTGTTTCTCTTTGACACCTTTGCTTTAATAATAATTGTTATCTTCAACTTCTTATCTCAAACCTAATTCTTTGCTTCACAAGTGTGTTCTCCCTAGACTCCTTGCTTTTTTGTAAATGGTATATTCATTCATTTTTCCAGTTGGTAGTTTATTAGGCAAAAAAATACAGTCCTCGAACAATACTTCCCCAGGATCTGAAGTACCTGAGTTGAAGTCACAGTCCTGTTTGTTCTGTATTATTGCAGTAAACTCTTCACAGGTCACTCTGCCTTCACTGTTCATTCTCTACAAATTGGTCTTGATACTTGCTTGCACTTCTCCAAGGGCTTCCATCAGTGAGAGGGTTCTTCAGAAGATCCAAATTCTCCCTTGATTCATCTCTCCCTCCAGTGTCTGTCCCTCAACACTATCTACACTGGCCTAATTGCTACTAAAATAGATCCTCTTGGAATTCTTGTACTTGCTGTCTCTTTCTGTGACTGCTTTTCCTCCAGATACGAAAGTTTCCTGACCGTTCTAAGTTGCTACTTTTTATAATAAAGATTTATTTTTTTAATTATGTGCATGTGTTTCTGTATGAGTGTGGGTTTGTGCACATGAGTGCCGGTTCCGAAGGAAGAGGCCAGAAGCTGGTGGATCTCCTGGAGCTGGAGTTATAGGTGGTTGTGAGCCACTCAGCGTTGCTGCTGAGAATTGAACTTGGGTCCCCTGCTCTAAACAAGTGAGCCATCTCTCCAGCCCCTCTAGATCGCTACGTTAATGTCACCTGACAGAAGGCCTTCCTGTCTTGCTTCCTGTCCTTCCTTCCCCAGCTCCCCCATCACTTTTCTTCCTTCTCTGTTTTTCTCATTATATAGTTTAGCACCTCTATCTACATGTGACATCTTATACATGCAGCATTCAGTGTAGGCTTTCTTCAGTGGAATGCCAGCTTCATGAGAACAGAAACTTGTCCTGCTTCCCACCGTCTTCCCAAGATCTACAACAGTGCCCAGCATACACAGGGCCAGAGGGAAGTCAGTTAATATTTGTTGAATGAATTGTGGGTGGGCAGGTAATACAATTTTTCGCACTTTACTTTTCAGTAGGAGTATTACTCATAAATTAATGAACTTTCCCTTGTTTTTCTATAGTTACTTTCTTACTAGTCTGAAGTTTTTCAGTGGTTTTAACCTAAAATTTGATTCCTTTAGTTTTTTGATCTTCATTCTTCATATGGCAGCTCTTTTAGAGACATTCTTGCTTAGCTGATCATCTCTTAATATTAGACTTTTAAGCAGTTAATGATCATTGTTAAATCATTCATGAAATAAATCATGACTATAAGCATTAAATAATCATTGTTAAATCATTAAAAAAATAAATAATGACAAACCCTGCCACTGAAGACAACATTTCAGCCATGTTAATGAGCCTGTCAAATGTTTTTCTATAACATTGATTTGAAGAGTTTTCATTTCTTTAGCTAATGCTTAGAATCTTAACACAAAACTAGAATTACAAAAAGCAATTCTTTTAGCTTGAAATCCATTGACTTTGGTTATAAAAATATATCTAATATAAAGTAATAGAGTAGGCCTGTCTTCTGTAAGTATTCTAGAACTATTTTAAACATTATGTTGAATTTTTCTTTTTCTAAAAGACCGGAAATCAATTTCTGCTCAGATCAAACTTTAGTTATACTTGAGTTCGTGTTACTCACTTTCATGTTTTTGTGGAAATTACTGTGCATATCCATAAAGTACTTAACAGCAGAAGGCTTTGTGCCTGACTTCATAGCAGCAATGTCAACACAGGGTAGTACCTATGGAAAGAGAAGGATTCTGGGTATTAGTTTGGGGAAGAAGGCATCCAATATTCTGGCTTTGGGTAAAGAGTTCCCATTTGGACTTCAAACATTTTTGGGCAGAGAACATTGTGTTAAACAAAAACAGATGTAGATGATAAGATGATATGCTGATGTGTTGGGAAGTAATTTTCTTTTGAAAAACCAGATTTTATGATAGAGAATTATTAAAGAAGATAGACTAGACTAAGATTAGAGTATACCGTGTATTTCTAAAATATATTTTTTAAAATTTAACTTTTTTTAAATCAAGGCAAGTGAGTTTTTGCCAGAGCCGCTATCAGCAGCATTATCCCTCCTTTCTGTGGACATGCCTATTTCTTTGGAATACCCAAATATTCATGACACTGTTGTGGCCTATTTGGAACAGCTGAATTCTGAAAACTACAGTGTTTATAAACGGACTGCAGAGGCTGTTTATTCAATTGAATGTACCTGTAACTTCCTATCAGATGTCGGGAAGGAGGTAAAATATTTTGCTAATATCACTTTAAATCTTTTTGATGAAATATTTAGAAAATCTAACTTACCTTTCAAACTGATAGACATGTAACCAGTGAATTGCTAGTGGTGATACATTATTATGGAATGGGTTTATAATCAAATTAAAATAAGGGTATAATTTGCACAAAAGTAACACAGACTTTGAATTATTGAATAGTATATATTCATAGTGTCACTGGTTAATAAAAGCAGTAGCTGTTACAAATGTTTTACCATTTAATAGTGAGTTCCTATATGAATGTCTTACAGTGTCTGAACCAAGTGATGCTTGATTTAACCAGAATTGTGAGGTCTATATTAGTGCATCCTTGCAGAGTTTAGATACATTTTTGTTTTAATCTTTTTTGATAGTTACTACATAACTTCATGAAGAACCTGATTTTTTTGTTGCCGTTAAATACAATTTTGAACTATTATTTGTAAGACAATAGGATGTCTTGAGGTATAGTATCAAATTTATCTCATTTAAAAATACTATTAGGACATTACTCAATTATTATCTATGAAAGGTTACTGGGAATTGGAGATGGCATTGCCTGTAATAGAGCATTATCATCTGAGAATATAACAAAATGAATCCTGAAGAGCAAGGCACACAATTCTTTAAGAAAAATTTTTTTATTATTCTTATTTTTTATATGTATGCGTGTATTGCCTGCATGTTGGTAGGTGCATCCATGTCGTGCAATGTGCACGGAGGTCAGAAGAGGGTGTCGGATCCCCTGGAACTGGATTATTGACTGTTGTTAGCTGTCATATGGGTACTGGGAATTGAACTGGGGTCCTTTGCAAGAGCAGCCAATGCTCTTAACTGCTGAGCCATCTCTCTAGCTCTGGGCACACAATTCGTAATCCTTTTGAAGTCACTCTGAACCTCAGACTTAAAATTTTCTTTATTTACTCATTATGATATGTCTCCCTCTCTCCCCCCCAGGAGTACTGGGGTTTGAACCTGGGGTCTCCTACTTGTTAGGTAAGCACTTTAACCACTGAGAGATGACCCCAGCCCTTGTGTCTGGGTTTTGTTACTCAGATTGACTTTGAACTCACTCTAGTCCTAAAAGACCTTGAACTTGGTGATCTTCCTATTTTGGCCTCTCAGTTGCTAGGATAAAAACCTGAGCCACCAGGCCTGGCTCTCTATTTGTCACTTTTTGATGCCACTGATTTCCTGTGTCTTCTCTCCTACAGTTTTAAATTGTCTCTTAAATGTTTATTTCTGTGGCATTCCCCATAGTTTTTTTTATTGTACATGCATGGAATGTCTTTTGTGTCCCGAGATTTTGTCAGGATGTTAGAATAGGGTGATATATGATAAAATATACTAGTCTAGCCTTTAGTCAGGATGGCACACCATAGACAAGCAAGAGATAACCCATTGTCACTTTAAGCTTACTCGGGTTAAATAATGAAGTTTCAGGTGGCATTTCTCTAGGAATTCCCCCCCACCCAACATCTCCTTCTAAGTTGACATTTTTCAGTTGATTGTTGACTTAGACAATTGATCGTAGACAAGTCTGGGCAATGTCAGGGTCTTGGTGTGCCTTAATTTCCGGAAGCTACTTAGTTAACTGGGAGAATTTTATTGTGCATGAGCTTGACATTTGCTATCATATTCCTCTTCTTTTGCAGGGAGAAAAGAATCTCCTAGAATTGGTGGAGCTGGCAGACCAAGCCTTGCGTAGCTTTTCCTATCATCAGCACTCCCCCCTAATAAAGGAAATCATCTCCATATGTTCAAAAATGTAATATTTCCTTTCCTAATGTGATTATTAGTGTGCATGCACATGGATGTGTGTGTGTATGCATGCATGAGCATGGTTACAGAAACTTAGGAGTAATATGAATGAAACTGACTATATCATTCCTATTTTTAGTTTAAATTGTTTTTATATGTCTCACCATTAACCTATATTAATATAACTGCATTACAATAGTTAACTGCTTTATTTAAGAGTAAACTTTAAAGATATCATACATTTGTATTTATCCATGTTTACTACTCAAATGTTTTTAATTTAAATATCCAGAAGTGGCGGATCACACCTGTAATCCCAGGACTCAGGACATGGAGGCAAGAGAGCCACTGCAAGTTCAGAGTCAGCGTGGGCTACATAGTGAGACTTAGTGTTGAAGAGCTAAAAATAAGACAAAAGTAATAGCACAAATTTAAGATTACTTTTATAAATTTTACAAGTTAGTATCTTCATTGCTATTGGAAAAATTAATTCCATGATATGACAGGCATCAATTATGAGTTTTAATTTATTTTTTATTTATATAGTGTGTGTGTGTGTGTGTGTGTGTGTGTGTGTGTGTGTGTGTGTGTGTGTGCACATGCCATGGCATGTATGTGGAGTTCAGAGGACAACTTCTGGTAGTTGGTTCTTTCCTTCCACTGTAGGATCTGGATATTGTACTCAGGTTATCGAATGTGTTCAGTAAACACCTTTACTCCCTGAGTCATCTCACTATCCCAAGTATGAATCTTCTTTTCTTTCTTTCTTTTTTGGTAAGTTCTGCCTAATTTAGTTAGCTAAAGGAGAATCTCAGTCAAAGAAGTTGAAGTAGGAAGGGATTTCTTCCAATATGCCTTGTAATCTTTTGTTTACTAACTTGCTGGCCTCAGATATCTTGGGTGTTTTTCTTTATTAACAGCTGGAAATCTACACAGGCCAGTCCATTACTCCAGGGAGAAAGTCAGAAGGTATTTCTCCATATGCTGTCTCACCCGTTGCCACAGGTGAAGGTGGAGACATATCTCTGCAGTCTGGAGATTGTGAAGGTGTGGCTTTGGTTTTCATTGTTTTTTAAATTAACTAATAAATTTGAGAACTGATAGTGGATCCCCTTACTTTGCCTCCAAAATTACATTACTTGACCTTTTGTGTAAGCTCTAAGAGGTGATGATTAATCAACTCCAGGACATTTGTATTATTAAATTTCCTTTGACTTCCTAAGTCCCATTGAATTGCTTATTATATATACCACTCCTGTAAGTGCTGTCTGGGTATAACAGGCGTTTGTGTTTTGCTGTTTTTACCTCTGATCCATTTTCACATCAATGAAAATACTTCATTTTCACAGAACTCTTCCTTCTCTTTCTTCTGCACTGGCACAGTGTAGCTACTCTTAGTGTTGGTGTATGTCTTTTGATCATGTTTTTAGAATCTGTTTTTACTGTATATGCATTTCTTTGTAAATAATACATACCATTGTTTTGTATGCTTAATTGTAATTTCATACTGCACCTATGTTTTTACCACTTACTCCTTTTATCTAAAGGATTTAAGATCTACTTAGTTGATTTATCTTTATTGTTATAAATTGGAATTTACTTTTTTGATGAATATTTAGGTTGAATCTCCTTTTTACTGAACCAAGGTTTTTAATCCTGAGTTCCGGGATTACAGGCATGTGGCACCAAGCTGATCTAAAGGTGATTTTTAAAGCCATAATCCTTGGTAGCTTCATCTCATAGGAGAAGGTTTCAAGAGGATCTTTATTGTCCCATTTATAGATGAATAAACTGAAGCTCAGAGAGTTGTGCTTAAGTACCTAAGGAAGCATGTGGCAGCTGTTTTTAAATGTTAAGGTTGAAGCCTTGACTCTCAAAAGCTTAAAATGCACTGTATGTGACATAGAGCCAGGCGTGGTGATGCACACCTTTAATCCCAGCACTTGGGAGGCAGAGGCAGGAGGATCTTTGTGAGTTCAAGGCCACCCTGGTCTACATAGTGAGTTCCAGGACAGCTGGGGCTACAGGGAGACCCTGTCTCAAAAAGACAAAAAAAAAAAAATTAAAAAAAAAAAAAAAAAAAAAATTAAAAAAAAAAAAAGACATATGTATATTTGTATTTGAGTTCACATTTTAACCTTTGAATTGTTAGTAGTGGTAAGGAAATAGTAGTTTGTAATATGGAAGAAATTAAGTGTAGATTTGGCACTTATTACCGGTTGTATTCACTGTATTGTATTCAAATTTTGTTGATATGGCACAGCTTTTGTTCTTCGCATTAAATAGCCTCTAACAAAATATTTTCTGTTACAATTGAGATTTCATGTTTTTCTCTTAGCTTTCTCCAATATTTTTTTTTTAGTTTGAATTGTTTTTCGAAAGCCTAAGTATGTCTAATGCACCACATGAGGATAAGTTTTCAGAATTGTTGATGTCTTCTGTCAGCTTTCCCAGACTATGCTTGTCTCAGTGCTTCGCCTATTTATGAAATTGTTCATTGGCAGAGAGTTGTCTGTTTTAGACAGAGTCAGAGAACATTTTCAGTACTTCATTAGCTAAAAATTTTTTTAATGAAGTGAAAATTAAAATTGGAAATAGAAGAAAGAGAAATGTTAGAAAAACCATTGTCACTAATTTAGAAACAATTTTGTATTATTTTACAGGAATGTTTAGGTGTCCATAATGTCACTAAACCTGTGTCTTCACTTTGTAGTGGAATTCATTTTCTGCTTCATCCAAAAGTTCTATATGAAATTTCTGCATTTGGTATGCAAGAACCCAAAAATGAGGTATGATATGCTAAAAAGAAGTGCAGACTCAGTCAAGTCAAGGAAATACTCAAATGAAATTCTGTAGCATGATGAGAAGCTATAGGAAGTATGCCTTTGATGTTGTGAATTGTTTACATAAAAATGTTAAAGAAGACATAAGAATCAAAATGCAAAACATACTTGATCTTGAAGAATCAGATCAAACAATTTTCTTAGGAATTTCATCTAATATATAGAGAACTGTAGAATGGTTTTAGTAACCAGATTATTTCACATTCATAAAGGTAGAAAAGCAGAAATCATTAAGGGAAGAACTGGTTAAGACTGGAATATAAGAGATTGCAGAGTGTAGGATGGGACTCCTATATGGAACCTTACCCACCCACTGGCTCAGGGACCATTTTAGAAGAGGAGGTGGAAACATTAAGAGCCAAGGCTGGTTCATGAACATAAGGAGGTTGAGGCCTCCAGGCCACTGGAGGCTTTGCTCATATGAGCCTGCTGTGGCATCCAACATGGGACCCATGTCAGCTCAATTAAACAAGGGCCCAAAGGGGAGGTGAGAAATAGTTGGCTGGCCAGCACTGGATTGAGAACTATTTGAGACTGATTGCTGCTGGGTGAGGGAGAGAATGACTTACATACGACAACTGCATGTGCTGACTGGACTCCAGTGGATGCACTTACAGTGAAGGGCATTTGGGTTCAAAGACCTGAATGAATGGGACTCAGCATGTATGGCAGAATGTATAGGGGTCGGTGGAGGGATAGGGGCAGCATGGATGGAGGAGGGGGTATGGATGTGAGTGGGAAATGTATGAAATTTTAAAAGCTCAGTAGAAAGAAAACACTGGAATATAAGATGGTGCATGTAAAGAGGAACCTTTGGAGAAAGAGATGTTAATTCTGTGCCTTTTCAGGTTGTATAAACACTGCAGGTTTGTGAGGGGGACCGGGTGGGGCTTCTCATCTGATGGGTTATGTGTCTGTGCTTGAGCAGGTGAGTGCTGCTGCCAAGGCCATTCTGTTGTACCTGCTTCAGGGACGATTGATGATGACAGCACTGACCTGGAACAAGTTTATTGAATCTCTCTGTCCTGTCATTCCAGTGTTACAGGTACTCTATGAAACCATTTATCTTTGACTGGGTGCAAGTGATTTAAAAGAATGCAAACAGTGGAACTGTCATGTTGTGAGAAAAATGAAGCAGACCAGTGAAGGCGCTGGGGACAAGAGAGCAGGAAGCGGTTGTCGGTCTTGTTTCTCCCAGAAGGCTAAACAAGGATAGCTCATTCGCCCATGTATACTTTATGTATCTGGGTGGGAAGTTAAAAACATGACTGAAAAATAGAGCTGGGTATTGTATAAAAGTTTATACAACTAGAAGGCAAAGCTAGAAGTGCTTTTTAAACATTGTGTAATTAGCTTACCTCATCAAATTCTATTTGTGCATGTACTTAATTAGTGTGATACTTGGTTTAACAAGCTCCTTGACACAAAGCTTTCTTAGCAGTCCTGGGCATTGAAGGAGTGAGGCAAGTTCAGGTCCCTGGGACCCTCCCCCCACCATGAAAAGATGTAGCTAGACATGCCATCATAGGCAGTCCTTTTATGATGCTTATTTGTTTACATATTTTAATTTAATTTTAAAAAATATTTTATTTTAATTTTATGTGTATGAGTGTATTGCCTGCATGTATGTGAGTGCATCCATGTCATGCAATGCCACGGAGGTCAGAAGAGGGCTTCGGATTCCCCTGGAACTGGAGTTAAGGATGGTTTGTATATGTTTGTCTTTGTATGAGTGTCTGCCCCATATATGTGCATGCTCATGGAGGCCAGAACTGAGTGTTGGATCACCTGGAACTGGTGTGACAGCTGTTATGAACCACCTGGTGTGGTTGCTGGGAGCTGAATTCAGCTCCTCTGGAAGAGTAACAAGTGCTCTTAACTGCTAATCCATCTTTCCAGCCCCAGGTGGTTTTTTATTTTATTTTATTTTTTTAAGAACATAATTATCTTTATTTTTAGAAACTGAACCATCAAATTGCCATTAAATATATTGTTTCTGTGCTTAAAAATTCCTATGTCTGATCTAGGCAATTCTTCAATCTAGACTTTTCTCTTTGGCAATGCTGGGGTATGTCAAGTTAACAGTTAAAGCCAGTCAGAGCATCTTCTAAGAATGAGCTTCTGGAAACATGCTTTTTTTACATTTTTATATTGCCTACATTGCATTGTATTACATGGTGTCAAAGAATATATAGAAGAAATGACTATAATTCATTGAAAACAGTCTATAACTTCCTAAGGACAGTGGTTATCTGATGCCAAGAAACACATAGGTTTTAATCCTTGTGGCTCAGTGCTTCCATTTCCCATACATAGTTCCTTTAGCACTCCATCTGTGTTCTGTTTGGAGAGCGCTAAAGGTCTGTGAAGTGCTTCAAGTAGGAGGTGCCACTGCTAGGATCTTGGAACATAGAAGAAAAAGCTATGTCAAGAAGGTTGGCATATGACCTGGAAAGATGGCTCAATAGTTAAGAGCACTGGCTGCACTTCCAGAAGACCCAGGTTCAGTTCCCAGCTCCCACATTGTGGCTAACAACCATCTATAACTCCAGTTCCAGGGAATCCAATACCTTCTTCTGGCCTTTGTGAGCATTGTATGCCTGGGATGCACTTATATGCATACAGGTAAATCACTCATACAGATAAAATAAAAATAAATAAATTTTTTAAAAAGTAGAAGAAGTTGACATACTTTTTTGTCTTTTCTAAAGAAATATACTTGTTCTTTTTTGTTCATTTATTGTTAATTTAGTTTTATTTCAGGTCCTATTTCATATAGATTATTTTCAGAAGAGACTTACTCAACTGAATCAAAAGAAATTGATGAATATTATTTTCAATTTGAAACAATATGAATAAAATTTAGTAATTTCTCTTTTTAAAAACATTCTTAGGGCTATGCTGATCCAGAAGACCCCTTAGGTAACTGCATTCTTCTCCTAAGCCAAGAGAGTTCTGAGGCAGGAGAAGGCATTCTTCCCTGCACGACCAGGCTGAAGTCTATACTGCGACTTTTGCTAGTGAAAAAACCATCGTGAGTACAATGTAATCTTTTGAATGTAAAAGATTAGTGGAATCCTTCTGGGAAAGTATACTAATTATATCAGTCTGAAAGTAGAGAACTGAGGAACTGAAGGAAAGTGACTTATTACAGAGCAGAACCAATCAAATGTGTGAAACTAAGCAGGTGAAAGGTCTTTCTTTGGATGCTTTCCTGAGGTAATTGAATCTCATTTAGTTTGTTCTGTTTCTTGGGAAGCTAAAAGAAGCCCTTTCTTTGATCATTATTGTGTGGGTATCATTTTAACTGAATGAACAGAAGGGGGAATGTATTGTTTTCTTTCCCTCTTGGGCATTGTAGCATGATCTTCTGTGTCCCTCTCTCCAGTTAACAGTGGATAGTGATGAAGACGAGTCCATTGAAAAGGCTAGGAGGAGCAGAAGTTATTTTTTTAAAGATTTATTTTATTTTTAATATGTTTATGCATGTGTGTATCTGTGTTTGGGTATGTGTATGTAAGTGCAGGTGCCCAAGAAAGCCAGAGGTGTCAGGTCCTCCTGGAGCTGGAGGTAAAGGCTCTATTATAAGCTATAGTATGTGGGTACTGGGAATCAAACTTGGGTTTTCCTGAAGAGCAATATGTACTATTAATCCTGAGCCATCTCTCCAGCCCCAGATATTCTTTTGACAGTAGATAATTTTGTTTTCCCCAGATGATTGAGAAAGTATATATGGAAATAAATTAAAACACTAAGAGAGTGAAAGGAAGAAAAATTAAAGGAAGATACCCTGCAAATATCTGTGCAGTGTGACGTTACATGTGATGCAGGAGGAAGCAGGGCAAATGAAGTCAACGTGCTCCTCAAGGAGTGGCTTCTCTGAGTGTTCTCATGGGCCCTGGGCTACACTAGTAGTTATCATTGTGCTAGCATAGCACTGTTTACTTTTAGCAAATCCTCCATTTGGTGAGTTAACACAATAAAAGTTTACTTGTTGTTCACTTAGGTGGGTTGTATTATTAATTACATTTTTTTTTGTTGCTGTGACAAAATACCTGGCAAAAGTAACAAGAAAAGGTTTAATTTTGCTCACAGCTTCAGCTTATAATCAGTCCATCATGGTGTTGTAGGCATGGCAGCAGGCACTTGAGGCAGCTGACCTCATTGTGCCTGCAGTCAGAGGGCAGAGAGAGAGGACTGGTGGTGCTCAGCCTGTTTTCTCCTTTTTATTTAGTCCAGAACCACACCCTGTGGGATGGTACAATTTACATTTATGGTGGGGTTTCCCTCCTCAGTAAAAACATTTCTGAAAACATCCTCATAGATATACCCAGAGGTATGTTTCCATAGTGAGTCTGAGTCTAGGGAAATTGACAGTAAAGATTAATGAACATCATAGGGGCTAAAGTTTCCAGTAAGCAAAGATCCTCTTAATAGAACCCAAGAGCAAGGCTAGAACTTTTTTTGCATAAGAGTAAAAAATAAAGTAATTGGACTTACACATTCTTTTCCTTTATTTGATTAATTCTATCGTATCCCATCTGTAAACTCATTGTAGTTAAGAGCCCTGTCTGTTGACTAATTTTTCTATGTCCTCATGGAGTATATAAACATAGTTGAGAGAATTATCTACAACTGACCAAATTAAGGATACCATCAAAGTTGAACTTGGTGAATGAATGAGTTTTATTGAGACTACTTAGAGGAATGTAGGTGAGGGGTTACTTATAGAAGCAGAAATGACTGAAAGTCAGCACATCACCAAAGCCCACCTCAGGGTGTGTGACAGCTCCAAGTTAGAACCGTGGAGTTCATCACACAACCTGCAGGCTGTTAGCAGGTTGGAGAGTGTCTTTACTAGGCAGCTCAGGTGACCTAAGCCTCTTCCAGACAACTAGGCTTATCTCATGACTCTCCCAGGCTGCTCTGCTGGTCTGAACCTCTTTTAGGCAGTTCACCTCATCTGAGACACACACACACACACACACACACACACACACACACACACACACACGGAACAAGAAGCCTAGTGAACCTGAAGCTATTGAGTTGCTTACCTCCCGAACTCAATGAGCTTTCCTACAGTATGGAATATTTTACCTCCCTTTAGAACATCCTCCTGTTTTACTTCCCTTTTCATATCCTGTGCCTTAACAGACCTTCTCTGAGGGAGCTTCCCTCCACCATGAAATGTGTTATTTCAGAGGAATTTGCTACACAAATATCTACCATGTGCCTGTGAGCTGCAATCAGCTATGGGAATGTAGCAGCACTCAGTGTAGACATGGGCCTTGCCCTTCTAAAATTTGGTCTCTAATTAGGAAGATTGATTTTATTATCATTATAAAATGCTATAAATATTATGATTGGAAGGACATCAGGATGACAAACCCACATGTAGGAAGGTCGACCCCTAATAAAAGATTTCCATATGTGCTAGTGCCATAATATTGTAGTTATTGGTGCACTTACTGTTCTAGAGGCTTGACTTATTATTTGGATCCTGGCTTGTGTATCTGATAGTTTTTATGGCTATGATAAATCACTAGCTTTGAAGTAAGAGTGAAAGTTATTTGACTTGCAGATTGACTTACTGAAGTTGACTGTGCTGTTTAGTCTCCATGGTCTACTCAATTGTAATTATAGATTACTCTGAATTTCTGATATTTTATAAACATAAAATTGAATGAATAAGGGTTGGGGATTTAGCTCACTGGTAGAGTGTTTACCAAAAAACACAAGACCTGGGTTAGATCCATAGCTCTAACAAAAGAAAATTAAGTGACTAGATATATATGAAGGATTTTTATAGAAAAGGAAAATATCAGTAAGATTAATATATATAGTTTTACATTAATATGATAATTCTCTGTAATTATTAACGTGTTTATAGACATTTTCATAATAGAAAATACTGACTGAAATACCTTGTGTTTTTAGGGTTCGTTCACTAGCATTAAAGCTTTTAGCATTTCATCTCACCAATGAAGAAGGGGCCGATAGAAAGCGCCCACCCATAGATGCCAGAGTTCTTTCCAGAGTTACTAATCTATTTATTGTGAGAAAACCTATTGAACTCAAATTGGATGACAGAAGAGAGCTAGTTATTAAGGTGAGTATAACGTCTGAGTTTATTACTGTGGTAATTTAATATATTTGTAGATCATTTATATTATGTGATGGTCTTTGCATTTTGTGTGACCAGGAAGGGAGAAGTATGATTCAGGTCCAGTATCCACTTATGTTCTAGATTCGTGTGGCTGCTGGATATGTCTGTTTACTGGTCAGATAGTGCTTGTATGCCTGTTATCTTCTAGGAATTATGTTCCCTTAAACAAGTATTATATGCACTAGAAATGTAAATTATGTGAGCAGTGTCTGAAATACACCATAGGTGAATAGAGTGAGAAGAAATTTTGTGATGAGTATTTTTCTTTCTTTCTTTCTTCCTTCCTTCCTTCCTTCCTTCCTTTCTCTCTCTCTCTCTCTCTCTCTCTCTCTCTCTCTCTCTCTCTCTCTCTCTCTCTCTCTCTCTCTCTCTCTCTCTCTCTCTCTCTCTCTCTCTCTCTCTCTCTCTCTCTCTCTCTCTCTCTCTCTCTCTCTCTCTCTCTCTCTTTCTTTCTTTCTTTCTTTCTTTCTTTCTTTCTTTCTTCTTTCTTATTCTGTGTATATGCATGTCTGTATGTGTTTGCCAAAAGAGGGCATCAGCTCCCCTGAGCTGAAGTTGCAGGCTGTTGTGAACCTCCTCACACAGGTGCTGGGAACCAAACTTGGGCCCTCTGAAAAAGCGGTATATGCTCTTTAACTGCTAAGTTGTCTCTCCAGCTCCTGTTTACTTATTTTTAAAATTAATTTATTAAAATACATTTTATTACATTTATTTATTTATTTATTTATTTATTTATTTATTTATTTTTGTGTGTGTGTGTGTGCACATGTACTCTGAGGTCAACCTCTTTTGGGGTCAGTTCTTCCACCACAAGAGTTTTGTGGGGTGGAACTTTAGCAGCAAACTCCCTTACCCACAGAGCTATCTCATTGGCCCTTGTGATGACTTTTACAAACAAATACCCATTGACATAAAAATATTGAGAATTGCCTATAATAGGAAAAAAAGACAAAGGTCTTATGAAAAATTTTCAGCCTCCTCATTGTAAGGAAGATAATAGGATGATAACAGGATGCCAAGGAAGTTTCGCTAAGATTTTATAGTGATTCTGAGATTTTCTTATTTATTATTTTTTAATTTGTTTGTTTGTTTGATCTCTTTACTGAACCTTTGGCTCCTTAAATGTCCCCGGAAGCATAGCACCCATTTAACCGGCTGTCTCTACATCATCCTGAACTGATACAGAATTCTGTTAGAGAAAGCCATCTGATTCATTCCTGTACTTTGTAGCTTTCCATTTCACTTCAATCTGTTTTTATTCACATTTAGATTAGGTCACCAACAATGGTGGCAGTGATGTAGGGTGACATATGCTAGTTAGTACAGTGGGGCTTTTTGTTGTTGTTTGTTTGTTTGTTTTGATGGGATTTTGCTATGTAGCTCAGGCCGGTCTTGAACTTACAGTCCTGTGACCCAGTCTCCCACGTGTTGAGGTTATAGGTTTGAGTTAATATATCCAGATTCTAATAGTGTTGTTGTTTTTTTTTTTTTTTTTGGTAATTTTTGGTGTGTTTGTTTTGTTTTTAATGAGTGAATGCATTCTCAGTATTGTTCTGAGCTTGACGTTTAACAGTTGTATGATGCCCTGGCCAGAGGATTTATAAAGTCTAGTTGGAGTATCAGTAAATACTATGCTTCTGATAGTTACTGTTTTGCCTTTAGGTATAGTTTGGAGGAAGATAGGAGAGGAATGTTTTAGTTCGCTTTTTGTTGCTGTGATAAAACATTGACCAAAACCAACTTTGGGAGAAAAAGGGTTTATTTCATCTTACAGGTTTACAGTTCATCATTTAGGGAAGCCAAGGTGGGAACTCAAGGCAGAAGCTTGAAGTGAAAACCAAAGAGGAATGCTGTTTACTAACTTTTCCCAGACGTATGTTCAGTTGCCTTTCTTAAACAGTCTAAGCCCACCTTCCTAGGCATGGTCCTGCCCACAGTGAGCTGGCCCCTCAGTTAACAATTAAAATTACCAACAGACATGCCCACAGGCCAATCTGGTGGAAGCAATTTTTCCGTTGAAGTTAACCTCTTCCTACGTATGTTAAGTTGAAATTCAAGATTAGCCATCACAGTGTTGAAGATATCAGTGGGCATGAGAAAAAAGCCATTTTGCCTTAGTTTTTTTTTTTTTTTTTTTTTTTTCATATTGCTGATTTTGCTATCTCAGACTCTGGCCTGCTACAAAGTAAGCAAATACCAGTGTCTGATTGTCACTTCATTGTTTACTCCAGGGGCAGAGAGAGTTACTAGGTTTGAGTTGCTCTTCTCAGTTAGCCTGTACAACTCAGAGAGATATTGGGAAACCTGCATGCTTCCTATGATGTTCTCAAGGTGGCTAACAGATTAATGGATGATTTATGCCTCCTAGCAAAAATGTCCATTAGGAAGGGAGGCTTATTTGACATCATGGCTCTTCTGTCAGATCCTAAGTTCTCCGATGATATAACACATCATTGATGCAAATTTATGTATAAGTATATTATTTATTTAAATAAGTTGACTTTAGGCTTTTGTTTTTATGGCATATGTTAAAATTTTTGGGGAGGAATTGGAAGCAGGTGAAAAAATATATTACTGTTGGTTTGCAGTTGGAGACTGTTGAAAAGGTATATGAAATCTTTACTTCAGATGATGTCGATCTTGATTTGAGAAAGTCGGCTGCAGAGCAGCTCGCTGTGATCATGCAAGGTAATGACTTTTTGTTTTATAAGTGATCATATGTTGCTGACCTAGGATTTGAGATTTCTGTGTAGTAAGGAGGATTGGATTGACAGATGAGTATTCCTTGCCAGGTCTAGCCTCTTACTTCTGTTTTAGACTTACTGTTAGCATTTCATGGTTATTGTGACATTGGATACTATAATGAGAAGGTAATGTGAAAAAGCGTAATCGACATAGTCATATGTTTAAACTTTTTAAAAATTTAATTTTTTATTTTATGTGTGTGTGTGTATTGCCTGCATATAGATAGGTAAGTGCACCTGTGTCATGCAGTGCCCACAGAGGTCAGAAGAGGCTGTTGGATCCCCTGGGACTGGAGTTACAGAGAGTTGTTAGCTGCCATGTGGGTGCTGGGATTCGAATCTGGGTCTTCTGCAAGAACAACCAGTGTTCTTAACCGCTGAGCCATCTCTCCAGCCCCCGTATTCATATATTATTTAATTTTAATTTTTTTGATTGAGGCATAATCCAGTTAAAACATTGTCTGAAGACCTGAGTAGACATTTTACAAAATAAGATATCTAGATGGCCACAGGTGTATGAAAACATGCCTCACATCACTACCCATCATGGGAATGGGAATAAAAACCACATTCCAGTTAGAATGACTACTGTCAAGAGGAGAAAAAATATGCTGGCAAGGATGGGGCAAAAGGGGAGCATGCCTTAGGTACTCTTGGTGGGAATGTGATTAGTTCAACTGTTTTAGAAAATAGTATATAAGTTCCTCAGGAAATTACAAACAGAACTACCATAATGATCCAGTGAACCCCTCACTAGGTACATTACTGAAGAAAAATAAATTCCTATGTTGGAGAGACACTGTCCTATGTTTCATGTAGCACCATTTACAATGTGTGATTTGTTGTTTTAATAACAATAATACAGAGTACATAAAATGAGCTCTAAAAATGTGGAAGCTAGGCATGGTGGCACATGCCTATAATCCTACCACTTAGATCACTAGATGTGATAGTGCACAAGTGCCATCCCAGTTCTTAGGTGGTAGTGGCAGGAGGATCAGGAGTTCAAGGTCCTTCTTGATGATGAGTTCAGGGCCAGCCAAGAATGCATATGACTCTGCCTCTAAATAAATAAATGAATAAATAAATATTAAGTAAATAGAGAGCCTTGGTTAAAAGAAATCGAAGGGTCTGGCAAGATGGCACAGCAGGTAGAGGCAGTTGCTGTCAAGGCTGAGTTTAATCCCTAGGACCCACATGATGAAAGGAGAGAATTGACTCCCACAGACAGTTTTCTGACGTGCGCGCACACTCCCACCCACCCCCCCCCACACATACACACTAAGCAAATAAATATTTTTTTAAATCGAGGAACAATATTTTTAGAGAGTATTACTTTAATATTGCTAACATTTCAAAGTATAGTTCTAATGTACCCCATACTGGGCCTACTACAAACTTACTATTTTAAAAGTAGCCATTAAAAATAGGTACAGTGATACCTAATAGTTTAATATCAGTATGCATATGTATGTGTTTGTCAAAGAAGAAAATTTGTCCTCATATTATTTGCCAAAGGCTTGCATTGAACCTATAAACAACTAGCATTTCTGGCTGTAGTAACTTCTGTGAGAGTGCGTGTGTGTGTGTGTGTGTGTGTGTGTGTGTGTTTATATATAAACATTTTAAGTATAAAATACTTAAAACTTTTACTTAACAATTACAACATATAAATATATAATTATAAAAAGAATTTATATTTTTCAGAACTATACATAGTATCTTAAAGTCATCTTAAATTTCCTATTAATAATTTAATAGGAATAATAGAGATATAATATTAATAATGATGGAAATAATGCATAAATATAAAATATTTGTTCAAGAAATTTATTTACATGTTAATTTATGGACAATTCTAAATATTTCAAGGTGACCAGTTTGGGGAAAAAGGAGAAGTGAAAATGAAACAAGGTGGAGAAAATATTTGCCATGTAGAATTAAGTAATTCATCTATGCACTTAAAGTTCTAGTACTATTCAGAGTCTAAAATAGTTTACATGTTTATTCTTTTTTTATACTTTTATTTTTGCATTATAGATACAAGATATCCTTGTAACTAAAATGTTTTCACATGGTTTAGATTTATCTAAAGTAAAAGATTAAAGATTTGTCTTCTAATTTCAATCCTAAGTATAACTTTTTAGTAGCTTGAAAGTTGTTTGGATGACTGATGTATTTCAAAATATGTTTTTAAAGTTACAAAACTGTTGTTAAACTTTTAATAATTTTTGGTCTATAGATATTAAAATGCATGCTGTGGTGAAAAAGTTATGCCTAATTGACAAGATAATTGGGTATTTAAATAAATGTGTGGCTCAAGATGGCAAGGTAAGGCTAATGTTTACACTTTTTTTGGTATGTTGATTTTTTTAGTATGTTTTAGAGAGAGAGAGAGAGAGAGAGTGTGTGTGTGGTGTATGTGTGTTGTATGCATGTGTGCATGCAGGTGTACTTGTCTATACATGAGTATATGGTGGGTAGAAACTGATGTTGGATGTCTTCTTCTGTTATCCTGTACACTATATTTTGAAGCAGGGTCTTTCACCCCCCACTTCAGCTCAATGTTTTGGTTAGGATGGCTGGCCATCAAGCCCCCAGGATCCTCTGGTCTTCACCCCCAAGTGCTGACTTACAGACATATGCTACCACATGTGTTTCTTATTTATGTGCTGGGTTTATACTCAGGTCCTCATGCTTGCACAGCAAGTACTCTTCTTATTAAACCATTTCCCCAGTTCTGTAGGTTGATTTTATTAATTAGTTCTGAGTTAAATTAGCTGAATTTGAATGAGTACTTAGATATTTTAAAAAAGATTTATTATTGTTTTTTTTGTGTGTAAGTATTTTGATTGCATATATGTATGTATGTGCCCTGTGTGCCTGCTTGGAGCCTGAGGAGGCAGGAAGTGGGAATCAGACCCACTAGAACTGGAGTTACCGACTGTCTTGAGCAGACATGTGGGTGTTGGGAACAGAACCCAGGTCCTCTGCAAGCACAGTGAGTGGTGTAACTGCTGAGCCATCCCCAAGTATTTGGATTTTTAAATCTTTAGTAATACCCACTGTTTATTTTTTTAATTTCTGAAAGAGGTCTCTGCAAAGGAAAACTAAGCTTAAAATTTTTGTGAGCTTCATAAAGAGAAGTATAATTTTGCTTCTAAGTAATTCTTAACATATTTTTAAAAAAGTAATTCTTAACATCGTCTCATTTTAGTTTCATCTAATTTTAATGACAAAGCCATAAAACAAAGAATCAATTAATATGGTATATTTTATCTCCTTGAAGAATTAGTGAAAATAAAAATGATTGTGTATTTCCTCCTGTCAGGTTATAGAATGCTTGATTCAGCCCTGTCTCACTCTCCTGAGGAAGGTTTTATGTGCTGATCCAGCTATTCGTGTTTCCCTGTCACAACAATCTTCTCTCTTGACCCTGTTATTCAGAGGTGAGTAAAATAAATGCTACAGTGTCATCAGTTGTAAACTTCATTCATTCTTTAACTGTAGGTAACATTTACTTTCCATTTTACTAACCACAAAGTTTCTTAGTGACTGACTATTCTACTAATAAATTGACAGTGGTAAGCACTTAATGCTTTTGTGGAAATATTCCTTATACTGCTGTTTCCTAATGGACCTCAACTGAGAGAAGCTGAAGCTCCAATTGGTCTTTCCACCTGTTCGTAGACAGTACACGTAACTTAGTGCTCAGGTGGTGAATCATTTTGTATGAAGGTGAGGCCGCAGCAACTCTCCTTCTTCTTTTTCTTCAATATCTGTTCCATCTTCTCATTATTTTTGTACAATCTGACCTGGAAACTTTGCTGTTGTATCTAATTATGTCCTTAGACTGGCATTGAGATTATAGACCCAACTTATGAGGAATAGGAACTAAACCACACTGAGTAGCTCATTGTGAGTATTAGCTTTATTTTATTTTAAAAAGGTTGTATTTTTTTTTTTTTTAAATTCAGATTAGTTTGATTTGTGTGTAATGTCATTTGGATAGAAAAATGTCATGGGTTTTGTCTTCTTTGCTATTGTTTTTAATACAGAACTTGGTAGCATTTTAATATTTGTCAGGGTTCTCTAGAGGAACAGAACTGATGGAATGACTATATATTATGAAAAACAATTTGTTAGATTGGCTTACATGATAGGGAGCAGGTAGTGCCTGCCTGCAGTGGTTCAGTTCTAATCTGGTGCTGAGGCCTGAATGATTCCTGGACAGCCTCTGGTCTTTTGCTCACGTTGGTAGGTTGAAGAAGCAGTGTTCTGATGTCATGGGAGCATGGTGGCAGCAGAAGCAGCAGCAGCAGGCTTGAAACTCCACCATCAGGTGAAGGCAGGCAGGCCAAGAAGCAAGGCTTTCCCCTCAGATCCCTTTACACTGGGCTGCCACCAGAAAGTGTAGCCTCTAGGCATGGCTCTTCCTTTATTCCAGACAATCAAGTTGACAATCAGGGTAACATCACAGGTCTTTGCTTGTTTGTTTTTGTTTTTGTTCTTTTTTTTTTATTTAATTTTTTGTTGAATTTTTGTGCATTTCACACAAAACATCTTAACCATCTTTATACCCCCTTCTCTGCTGGCACCAGTTCATAACCTGCCCCCCGCCACACACACACAGGAGTTCATACATTCTGTTTTTTGTGTTAAGACCTATCATGTCAAGTTAGTATCCCCAGATGTCCCTCAGTGAGGGACATGCACTGAGGTCCAGTCAACCTATCTGAAACCCCTCCCTTTAAGAATATCAGCTCTTCCATATTTAACAGTAATCAGCTGCCAATATTTCTTCAGCTAAGATTGGGGTCTGCAGTCCATTTCCAAAGTTCTATCCTGGGTTTTTGTCTGTTTGAGTTTGCGTGAGTCTTGTGCATGCTGACACCATTGCTGTTCATATGAGCAAGGTCCTAGGAGCCTGTAGTACTCTATTTGCATATGGTCATGCGTCTCCTCACTGGCTCCCCCCGCCTCCACAGTGGTTCCTGAGTCCTGGGTATATAGGTTTTAATATAGGAGTCCTGTCCAAGGACCCACACCCTTATTCTCTATATTTTGGCCATTTGTAACCTTTTGTTTTCCTGACCCTCTGTTGCATGAGGGAGCTTCATTGATGAGAATTGAAAAGTGCATTAGTGTTCTCTTTATCCCTTATTCTATATTCTGTGAATCTTAGGTGTAGAGGTTCCATCATAGATGTGCCACTTAGATAGACTTGGGCAATTTACAGATGTTCTCTGTGTGTGATCTGCTGTGGAATTCTGTAATGATCTCTGACTGTTGAAAAAGAAGCTTCTTCGATGGGTGGTGACTAGGATATTTGTCTATAAATTTAAAGTTCCGTATTTTGCAAATAGTAAGAAATTGCATTTATCTAGTGATGTGACAGCCTTGGGGTGCTCTCTTAAAAACGCTGAGAGTCTGTGAGCTCTCCAGCTATGTGTATTTGGCTAGGTTTACAGTATCACACGATACTCCCATTGAGTGGACTTTAACTCCAATTAGGTAGCTGTTGATTACCCCCAAGATAAAAGTGCCACTACTGCACCAATATTGTTTGCTGTGCCAGTCATTGATGTGGTTTTTAGGCCTTGAATCTGGTGTTGGACCATCGATTGATGTTCTTCCTTGGTTCCTTCATAGTGCTCTCCAAAGCTATGAGAGCTAGCCTTCAGGGGAGGTGGCTTCTAGGTCAGTTCCAGCTCCAGTGCTCTAAATCCTGTGTCCAAAGTATGTACTGCCTTCAGCAATAGGATCTTACCTTCAAGTTCTGGGAGGCAATGTTCTTGATTTTTTTTTTTTTTTTTTTTTTTTTTTTTTTTTTTTTTTTTGAGAAAGGGTTTCCTTGTAGCCCCAGTTGGCCTGGAACTCCTTATGTAGACCAGGCTGGCTTGATCTCACAGAGATCTGCCTATCTTCACCTCCTAATTGCTGGGACTAAAGAAAGGTATATGCTACCATGGCCACCTCCATCACAGCTTTACATAACACTTTGTTTCCTACAAGTGTACATCATTGCTTTTACTTGTCCTAAAGAGGCATCTTGATCAATATCTTAGTATTTTTAATCTTGTATGGTACTTGGCATTTCAGAGATAAATGAAGTTTACATTAAAATATATTATTAGAGTAAAGCCATTTTATTTTAGCATTTTTTCCTAATAATTTCTGCTTATAAAATGATTAGAGCACAGTTTATATAAGAAGCATCTGTAAAAGTCCAAATGAGGTAAAGAGACTCATGTTTAAGGTCATAAAATTTTAAGTGGAGTGTAAAACTTTTATAAGTTCTTTTATATTGATTGAAAGAACAGCAATTTTGGATTTCTAGTTTTATTGCTTTCTTTAAAAATATTTACTTTATTTATTCATTTATTCACTGTTTTATTTTTTGAGACAGGTAGGCTTTTCTGACTAGAACTTGCTATATATGCCAGGTTGTTCTTGAAATTGTGGTGATCCTCTTGCTTCTGCCTCCTGAGTGCTAGAATTATAGATATGCTCCATTATGCCCAGTCTCAAGTTTTTTCATTCATGCTAATGCTTTTCTTCTTATAAACCTATCCATTTATAACTTAAGAATTGATCTTAAGAGTAATACCAGATTCTAAAGCAGTTTTTTGTTTTTTATTTTAGTGATGTTGGGCATCAAACTCAAGATCTTGTTTGTGCTAGGCAGCCTAGTATTGTAGCAGTGACTATACCCCTGTATAGAAAAAGCACTTTCCATGGCAACATGAACTGTATCCTTTTGATATTTAAGAATTATTCTATCTTATAAGTGTGTAGTGCAAAATTAATTTTTTAACCAACTGCTCTACCAGGAAAATTCAGTCTTTCAAACATTTATTGAACACATAGTATATGCTGGGGGCAGTGATCAGCCCCTGGTTACAGTTATAAGCATGGCTAATGGACTGCCAGAGCTTATAAGAGAGTCAGAGATTCTAATAATAATTGTAAAATGCAGCATTCTAATACCTGGACTGAGATCCCTGGTACCAGAGCAAGTGCTGCACATATTATGTTTAGGAAAAACATTAGGTAATGATTCTAGGAAATTCAGTCTCTCACCTGGAATTTGAGAATTGCATGAGAGTTCAGATAGTAATGATTGACTTCTTGATAGAGGGAGCCTAAGGAGGAAGGGTATGCTTGATATGTTAGCTGGTAGGGGACAGCGGGATTTGGAAAAGTATAGGTGAAGGGGAAATGGTGGGCAGTGTGTGGTAAGCCTTATTAAATAGCAGGGAGGAGCCCATTGAAGCTGCTAAGTGGAAATATGTATTTTAGAGATTATTCTGTCCTAGCATGGAAAATAGGTTCACAGGCTTTAATAATTAAACAGCCTCTCAGATACAGTTTTGAATTACAAACTTCATACTCTCACAGAATCTTGTACTGTATTTCAGGGTTAGAAACTGTCTTAAATAGTATTCATCAGACAATTATAGAGTGAGGAAGTTGGGATCTAAGAGACATTTAGGGACTTGGCCAGAGACATAACTAGACATGTGGTGGAGGCAGGAGAAGAACTCAGACTTATTTATCTGTATTTGTTTTTGTTTTAAATGATGACAAACTTAGACATCCACCTTACAAAATTTAATATAGTATTGAACTATACAAAATAAAATAGTATAAGATTTCATCTTCTCTGTTTTCTTAATATCCCCCAAAGAATAACAGTGCACTTTTGTTTCATAGTGGGCCATATTCCTGGATGCTTGTTTCAGATTTTCACTATTACATCATCATCTATATGGCCATCTTGTGCATGCATTGAAGTTGGAATTTCTGAATCACAGATACTTTATGAAATATGGTTAAATTCCTGTCCAAATCATTCTCCCCAGTGCTAAAACGGCTGATTTTTCTCATAGCTTTGCTGCCACTTTGGTGTTCCTTATTTCAAAGTTTTCTTTAGGTAAAAATAATAGTTTAAACAGGTTGTGGAGTGATGAGTATGGCAAAATGGAGGCGTAGGGGAATGGTTTGTCAAAATGAAGTGTGCATGAAGACATCAATAGAAATCTATGATCTTGCAACCCAAGTAAAAAAATATGCTAAGAGGATAGGAGGGAGCACATGTGATGCAAAAGAACAGAGGGTGGGGGATAGATACTGGGAGCTGAAGGGTTAAGCAAAGGTAGACGGGATGGGAACAGGTTGACTAAAACTAAGGGAGTATGAAGAAGTGTTATGAAACCCCACTAGCTTGTAAGCTAACTAAACTTTCACAAAAACCGAGTTTGTGCTATTTTTTTAACCTGAAAACCTAAGATCTTATGGAAAGTAAAGATAAGGATCAAAATCAATTTTAACCCCATATCATTGGCAGTTGTATTCCAGAAATTTCTTATGTATTTGGAAATATTCCAAATCATTCTGTGTCTACTAAGAAGAAATGTCCATTTTATCATAAGTTAATTTTTACATGATTGTATTTCTTTACTTTTTAGATTTTTTTGTTTGTTTATTTTTTGAGACAGAGTCTCCTTGTAGCCCCAGCTGGCCTCAATGGCACAGAGCTCTGCCTGCTTCTGCCTCCCTATTGCTGGGATTAATGTCATGTGCTACCATGCCTGGCCTTAGATTGTATTTTCAGTCATGCAAATTACATATTTTTATTTTCTTAGAATTACAAAAGATACTCTTTTAAAATATGGATTTCTTGTTGTGGTTCTCTAGATTTGAAGGTTTGGTGTTGTTTTTCCTATGTGACTGGTACAAGTACCATTCCTATTTATTCCTCAGTACTTCCTAGTACTTCCTAGGTTTCAAACACTGAAAAATTGTATCATTGGGAATGTTACAGAACTAGACACTGATGCCTTTGATGTTAAAGGATTTGACCAGGCCTCTTAACTAGCATGTGGTACAGCTAGTGTTATACCTACTAATTCAGAGGAAGTTTTTTTCCATCATTTTCTCATAAAAAGCAGATATAAAAACCAGAACAGCAAGCATAAACACAGTATTTAACATTAAATTCTAGGACCATGTTTGTCATGAAGATATAAAATTATAAATGATCTTTCAGTGAGGAAATTTTGAAGCCATGTCACTTGACTGTGATCACCTATAACTAGGATTTAATGAATGGGTCTGCAAGTGTGACTCTTGGGCCAATAGTATCTATATCCTCTGGGAACTTGCTAGAGATGTCCATTTGTAGGCTTTACCTGAAATAGACTGAATTAATGTTTGTAAGGTGATGCTCATGCATTTGAAAGCTTCAGAGAGAGTATCGGTGATGTCAGTTTTTCTCAGTTAATGCTGTATTTCTTTTTCAGGTTAAGATATTTCAGATTTGAAGTAACTTTTTTTCTTTTATTCTTTCTAGAAGTATAAAGATCTTAAGAACTTGCTCTCCTTTTGTTTTTCAGTTTCCTTGATATTTCAGGAAGATTGTACTGTGGTGACTGAAATTGGGGCATTGTTTTGTCTTCTGTTGTTTGAGGAGGTATCAAGAATGGATACATGGTGAGATACAAGAATTTGGGTTTTTTAATTTTTACTGGTAGTTATTTATCTAGGGTCTGATGTAGTCCTACAGCAGTGCTTTGAAGTATCTTAACTTAAAAGGCTTTCCTTGCTGTACACATGTGCTATGCTTTTTGGTTTGTAAGTATTATTTAAAAAGTCCCTTTATTAAAAAAAAAACCCTGAATTATTCTTAGTATAAACTTTAAAAATTATTTCAACAGTCTTAGATATATCTTTATTATAGCTTCAACTTTGTGTGCTTCTTCTTTAGCATTTTATTATCTTTAAAAATGAGAAAATATTTAGGATGGTAATACATGCTTAACATGATTGTAAGAAGCATCAGTGAGCAGGGCTACAAAGCAGAGCTGCCCGTACAGCCACGGTATTATGTCACGTGCTGTTAAAATAATGTGGAACTATGGTAGCAAACATGAATGCAATCTGCTCTTGTCCAACTGAAGTGGGTTATACTGCACAGAACTGTGGTCTACTCAGTTACGTCTTTTTATTTTTCTTTTATGAAATAGGTCTGTTAATCCTTCCAATAAACCTTGTTTGTCATCAGTCTTCAGCTTGCCTGTTTCAGTTTTCAGAAGGTAAAGGATTTATTTCTCTCATTTTCATGAAGGGCAAAATATTGTTAGATCATGGGAAGGTGCAATCTATAATTTGCCACAGTTTTGATTCAGCTTTTAAATCATAAACCTTGAATACTATCATGTTTTCTTCACTTTGGTGCCTTGGAAACTGAGTAAGTATAACTCTTCCTCATCAACTTTTTATTTCAATCAGTCTCATGCAAATTTATAGAAACACTGAAAGAACTATAGTGTATGTTTGTGTTCCCATAAGCCTCGAATCATTGTGAGTATATGGGACTAATTGTACTCTCTTTCTCTTTGTGTATTTGTAATTTCCATAGTCAACAATTTGAAAATGTATTTCAGAAATAATATCACTTTTTCAAAATGCAGTGTCAAGACCACATGTTGGATTAGATTATATGTCTGTCTAGAACTTCAAAAAATGAAAGTTGTTTTCATGTCTAATGTACATGAAGTTTATAGGTAATACATAGCTCTTTTTTTTTTCCTCAGTAAACACATTCATGGAAATGGTAAGCAGGTAAAGCTAATGAGTGCCTGCTTCCAGCTCAGAGCCTCCCTTCAGACTTTCTCATTACCTTCTTCCATCATCAAATGTAATCTTGTTTTATTTTCTATTACTAAATATTATTTTGCTCAGTTTTGGATATTATCAGTGCAGAGCGTTCTTGCATTTGGTTTACTTTACTCCACTTGGAAGGGTTTGTCTGTGTCATTTCATGAGGCACTTCTCTGTATGAGGAAAAGCAAGCATTTCCTTTACCATTCTGCTGCTGGACACCCATTTCCTATTTGGGAGCTGTTGTCAATAATGACTGCTGAAGGCATTTTCTATTTTTATTTTTATTTTTTGATTTATTGATTTTTATTTTGTTTGTATGATTGTTCTTCTTGCGTGTATGTAAGTGCACTCATCTCATACAATGCCTGCAGAGGACAGAGGGGGGTCATTGGTGCCTCTGAAAACTGGAGTTACAGGTGGTTGTCTGCAACCAGGTCCTCTGCAAGAGCAGCCAGTGCTCTTAACAACTGAGATAACTCTCCAGCCCTCTAAGTACATTCTTTTTTTAAAAAAATATTTTTTTATTATTTTTATTTTATGTGTATGACTGTATTGCCTGCATGTAGGTAAGTGTACCCGTGTTGTACAGTGCCCACGGAGGACAGAAGAGGCTGTTGAATCCCCTGGACCTGGAGTTATGGACAGTTGTTAGCTGCCACATGGGTGCTGGGATTCGAACCCGGGTCTTCTGCAAGATCAGTCAGTGTTCTTAACTGCTGAACCATCTTTCCAGCCCCAAGGACATTCTTAATTACACGTCATTACTATGACATAGAATATCTGTAGGCTTACCTTTGTAACAGTATTACAAAATGATACAGATTTATACTTTCATAATCAGTGTAAGAATATTAGCTGCCCCATATTCTGAACAACTCTTGGTATTTTGATCACCAATTTTGATAGTTTTTAAGGGTGGCTAAACACTAAAACTCATACAACTATGAAAGTGATACTTACAAGATCATTTTGTAGGTGCTGAGAATCATGTAGCCTAGAAACCCCATGTCCCAAACAGAAAATAGAACCTCTAGTAAAGTATAAAAAACAACAGCAGAAAATAAAACAAGTGTGTTTTTGTGCCAATAATATGCTGTTTTTATAACGCTAGCTCTGTGATATAGTTTGAAATAGGGCATGATAATCCACTGTCCCAAAATACCCCTACCCCATCCCCAGCATTGTTCTTCATGCTCAGGATTGTTTTGGTTATCCAAGTCTTTTATGATTCCATATGCATTTTAGGATTTTCTTTTTTCTGTTTCTGAGAAGAATGTCTTTTGGATTTTGATTGGTATTGCACTGAATCTGTAAATTGCTTTTGGTAGTATGATCATTTTCATATTAATTCTATCAGTCCTTGAGCACAGGAGATCTTTCCATCTCCTTGTGTCTTCCTTAATCTTTCTCTTTGAAGATTTAAAGTTTTCATTGTAGAGATCTTTAATCTTTAATTAAGTTTATTCAATTGTGAATGGCTGTTTTTCCATGAACTCTTTCTCTGATTATTTGTTATTGGTATATACAAAGGCTACTGATTTTTGTAAATTGATTTTGTATTCTGTGACTTTCCTGAAAGTGTTGATCCTTTTATAGAAGCTTTTTGTTGGAATTATTGGAATCTTATGTATATCATCTGCAAATAGGCATAATTTGACTTCTTTTCCCATTAGTGCCCCTTTAATTTCCTTTTCTTGTCTTATTGCTCTAGCTGGAGTTTCAAGCACTGTATTGAAAAGGAGTGGAAATAGTTGACAGCCTTGTCCCTAATTTTAATGAGAATGCTTCACGTTTTTCTCCCATTTAGAAGATGTTGACTGTGGGTTTGTTCTACATAGCCTTAATTATGTTGAGGTATGTTGCCTCCAGTCCAATTCCCTCTTGGGCTTTTTATTAGAATGCATGTGGGATTTTGTCAAAGGCCTTTACTGCATCTATTGAGATGATCATGTGATTTTTGTCTTTAAGTCCATTTATATGATTTATTATGTTCATTGACATATATATTGATCCATCCCTGCATCTCTGGAATAAAGCCAACTTGACCATATTGGATGGTCTTTTTGATATCTGCCTTTATGTGATTTGCAAGTATTTTGCTGATAATTTTTGCATCTATGTTAATTAAGGATATGGCCCATAGTTTTCTTTTTTTTCTTGTATCTTTACCTGGCTTTGAAATTAGACTGATACTGGCTTCCTATAAGGAGTTTGGGAGTTCCCCTTGTGTTTCTGTCTTTTTGAATAATTAAAGCAGTATCAGTTGTAGGTCTTCTTTGAAGGTTTGGTAAAATTCTACTATGACTCCATCTAGGCCAGGAATTTTTTCCAGGAATTTTTTTGAGTCTTAGGCTTTGAGTTACTGTTTCTGTTTTCTTATTTGTTATGGTTCTATTTAAGTTGTTGATCACTTGGTTTAACGTTGGTTCCACTGAATTTAGAAATTTACTCATTTCTTTTAGATTTTCTAACTTGGTAGAGTAAAGGTTTTGAAAGTATTCCCTTATAATGCTCTGGATTTTTTGGTGTCTGTTGTGATGTTTCCTCTTTTGTTTCTGCTTTGTTGATTTGGATTTACTTTTTCTTTCTTTTGGTTAACTGGGCTAAAGGTCTATCTTGTTTATTTTTACAAAGGACTAACTTAGGTTCACTGATTCTTTGTATTCTTTTCTTCATTTCTGTTTCTTAAATTTATGCTCTGATTTTTATTATTTCATTTCATCTACTGGATAGGGTTTGTTCTTGTTTTTCCAGATTCTTGAGTTATACCATTAAGTCATTTATTTATGCTCTTTCTGATTTTTTAATGTAGGCATTTAGAGGTATTAACTTCACTCTTAGGACTGATTTTAGTGTGTGCCAGAGGTTTTGTTGTGTTGTATTGTCATTTTTTATTTAGTTCCAGAAATACTTTTATTTCTTTCTTGATTTCCTGTTTGACTCATTTATCATTCAGAATTATGTTGTTTAATCTCCATGAGTTCATGTAGTTAATAGATCTTCTTTTGCTGTTGATTTTTAAGCTTTATTGCATTGTGGTCCAATAGAATACATGGAATTATTTTAATTTTTAAATTTGTTGAGGTTTGTTTTGTACCCTAGTTGTGGTCTGTCTTAGAGAAACTTCCATGATCTGTTGAATAGAATGTGTATTTGGTGTTTGGGTGGAATATTCTGTAGATGTCTGTAGGCTCGTATGTATGATATTATTTAATTCAAATGTTTCTCTGTTCTTTGTCTACTGGTCTGTTTTTATTAGGGTTCCCATCCTTCCCCCTTTTAAATGTCATTTCGTATTAACTTTACATTATTATAATAAAACAATCTGATACAATTCACTTACAAGTGAAAGGTTCATTTTGGCTTGTGTTTTGGAGGTATAGTTCTGCTAGTTACTTTTGTGTTGTGTGATAAAACATTGACCAAAGCAACTTATAGAAGGAAGAGTTTATTTAGCTTATGGTTCCAGAAGGATTGGTGCCCATCATGGTAGGGAGGCGTGGTGGCAGGAGATGGCTGGAGGAGCACTCACAACTTCAAGCAGGTACAGGAAAACAGAGCACTACTGGAAATCTGGGAAGGCTTGAAAATTCTCAAAGTCTGCCCCCAGTGACTTGCTGCCTTTGGCATGGCCACACCGCCTAAAGACTCCCAAAACAGTGCCATCAACTAGGGATAAAATGTCCAAATATTTGGAGCCTATGGGGGATATTCTCATTCAGACCACCAGAGTAGCACAATGTTGATGTCCCCATTTGCTTTAGCTTCTAGTGAGGGCATCACAGCATGGCAGGAGAGCATGACAGAACAAATCCTTTCTCCGCATGAGGCAGAGAGCAGTGAAGAGGAGACTGGGGTCCTACTGCCCTCTGTGAGGAAATGCCCTCAGCTGACCTAAGGACCTTCCACTGGAGCTCTCTTCCTAAAGGTTTCTCTCATTGGCCTCCTTCTCCTAAAGGTTCCTCCCACTAGACCCCTCTTTCTAAATGTTCCTCCCACTGGACCTCTCCTAAATATTCCTCCTACTGAATTCCTCTTCCTAACAGTTTCTCCTAAATCCCTCACCCCCCGGCCCCCTATCACCTTCCAGAAGTTCCCTATGGGGATGTTGGGAAACATTCATCCATTATCCTTATTCTTTGATCCTTAGTTATTCCCTATTTGTCTACTGCAGATCCTTAGTAGATCCTATGTCTTTATGACACAGCCCCAAGAATCTTTCAATGCCTCCTTGCTTTCTGACAAGGAGAAATAGCCAAGGTACACTCTGTCCAGACCAGCAATAGTAATACTGGTTGCTTTTTTTTCTTTCTTTCTTTCTTTCTTTCTTTCTTTCTTTCTTTCTTTCTTTCTTTCTTTCTTTCTTCCTCCCTCCCTCCCTCTCTCTCTCTCTTTTGCTGATTTTTTTTTGTAAAGATTTATTGTGTGTGCACACGTAAACACACCCATGCATGCAAGTACCCATAGAGGCCAGAAGAGGATGTTTCATTACCTGGAACTGGTGTTGCAAGTGGTTGTGAGCTGCCTGATATATGTGAGTGCTTGGAACTGAACTCTGGACCTCTTGGAAAGCAGCAAGTACTTTTGACTGCTGAACCATCACTCCACTTCACTGTGGTGGTTTTATTGGAACATTTCTATTAAAATGTAGCATTATTTATTAAATGATATGTCTAATTGGATATGGAATTATGCCATTGCCTCTTTCATTTGGGTATAGAAAATGAAAAAGAAATCACTGAGTCTTACACTGTTGTTCATAAAACATTTGTCATAAATATATAAATTAGGGATTTGGGGGTTTTTGTTTTTATTTTCATATTTTGGTGCTTAGAGTGAACCCAAGCTTCTGTATCCTAGAGAAACATTTGATCACTGACCACCAACCCTAGCCAGTTGGAATATGTTTTATTATTAAAATTATACTATAGCATTTGAAGTATGTTATGTGTTGCTGTACTATTAAATATTGTTAAATTAACTTGGGCTGATTTAAGAAAGATTGCTATTGAATTTGTTCTTAATCTAAAAATATTTCTGGGATCTTGAGTTTATTGGTCACTGTGTTCTAAGTGAAAATAGTAAGTTATGATCTCTCAATCATAGAAAATTCATGTAGCTTCTTTGAGTAGCCTCATATTGTCCATCTGTAAAATAGATGTCATATCAACATGCCATGTAACTGGAGAAATGGTAGATTGGAACAGTATTTGTCAGAAAGTCGGCATTCATGTTTTAGCTAAACACCTGTTAGGTTTGACTTACTGTAGTCATGGTTCCTGACTTTGGTGGCCACTGGTTGCCTCTGTAGAATGTTGTTGGTCCTCAGAAAAGCGTCTAATGAATTGTTTTGGAGTTTGGAGAAGAGTGAAGGAATAATGGAACTATTATATAAAATGTGATAACATGAAGCAGTTATGAAGAATGGAAGTCACCCATTTCATCTTTTTTCAGTCCTGTTTAAGAATTTATAAGTTTGTAATTATTTATATTTATTTTCTTTAGATATCATCTACCAGTTCATGTGATTGGCCACCATGCTGTGAGCCCTTATTCAATAGTTTTGCCATTATCAGCTGATTGTTTGGCTTTGAAACCAGTGTCAGATATGCTGAGAATAGCTTGGAACCTGGCATGGTACCATGGGAGTGATAATCTGTTGAAACAGATGACCTCAGAAAGGAAAACTCCAGAGTAAGCTATTATTTAAGAAAAAAAGCACTCACAGTTAGTTAATTCTAATTAATTAGATTTTACTTTCCCTTCAGGTCAAGAAGCTTTTACCCTTGATAGTATCACCTGATTCTATTTTTAACTTGATTATATTTTTCACTTTGTTTTAAATATTTACTTATTAAAAATCATATATGATTTAAGCTAGAAGGTATTGTATTCTGTGCCATTTTAGAAATTATTTGAACTTTATTTGGATAATAGTTATAAATCACTTGGAGAAGTGATGTGGAAAAAGATTTTACTTTTGAATGTCTTAATAGTTGACTAGTTTTACATGAATAATGCTATGTTAGTATTTTACCCTAGTTTTCTCTCTGTGACTGTGATAAAACACTGACCACAAAGCAATCTGGGAAGGAAAGGGCTTACTTCATCTTGAAGCTTTTAGGTCCCAGTCCATCACTGAGGGCAGTCAGGGTAGGAGTTCAAGGAAGGAATGTGAAGGTGGGAGAAGCAGCAAACACCATGGATGGATGTTGCTCACTGACTTGCCTCCTTGTCTTTCATTCAACTCCTTCCATATGGAGCCCACATCACTTGCCCAGGCATGGTAGCACCCACAGTGGGCTGGACCCTCCCATATCAATCTAGAAAATACCCCACAGACATGCTTACAGGCTACTTGGATATAGGAAATTCCCCAACTGACACACCTCTTCCCAGGTGTGTCAAGTTGACAAACAAAATTAACGATCACATGTATATTTTATAAAGAGGGAAAAGTCATGCTAGTCTTGGTGGTGCGAACCTTTAGCTCCAGCGCTAAAGGCAGATGCAGGAGGATCTCTGTGAGTTCGAGGCCAACCTGGTCTACATAGCAGGTTCTAGGCCAAGTTCTAGGCTAGCTAGGGCTACAGATTCACCTGTCTGAAAAAACAAAAGCAAAAACAAAAGAACACTGCACCAGCATTTTGCCTATAAGAAAGGAACCAAGGCAACAAGTATTTAGGAAAGAGAACAACCTCTTAGCTGATATCACCTACTACATAGCCTTTCTTTGAAAAAATTATTCCTAAAGACCTGTGCATGTGTGTGTATGCCTGTATATGTGTGTGTATGCCTGTGTATGTGTGTGTATATGTCTGTATGTGTATTGTATCTGTATAAATTTGTGCATGTCTGTGTGAATGTGTGCACACGCCTTTAATCCCAGCACTTGGGAGGCAGAGGCAGGCGGATCTCTGTGAGTTTGAGGCCAGCCTGATCTACACAGTGAGTTCCAGGACAGCTGGGGAGCTAGGGCTAAAAATTCAAAAAAAAAACCAAAAAAAAAAAAAAAAAGAGAGAGGAAAAAGTCACTATTATCGGTTGGGAGGCTAATATAAAATCTACGGAGTTTTATGTTAATTTGCTCATAGATATAAGTCAGCCTTTAATTAAAAGTAAATGAAAATGAAACAATTTGAGAGAAAGGTTTATATTAAACCTTTAATGTTTTAATTAAACCTTTAACATTATATTAAATGATTGTGAACTTTTATTTAAATTGCTTTATAGTGTTCTATTTTCTTCTTATTTAGATTTTTAGATACATTGCAGCTGTCCACAGAGGACATCCTTTCTCTGAAGATCACACACACAGCTAGTGGGCTTCAGGACTGCCTTCACGCCATCGTTCAGGCTGGAGGCCACAGGGATGTGAGGGCTGCTGTTACCAGGATGAGTTTTTATCTTCTGAATGACAAACTGTGTTGGAAAGATGATACTGGGCCGTGTGGGGTTACCTTAAAATCCTTGGCTTGGCACAATGTGCTAAACAGGTTAGTGTAAACTTAAGGCTGCCACTTTCAAAGACCTGGATGAATTATCTTTAGGTTCATCTTTAAATCTTTGAAGAGTGTATTTGTATAGGAGATACCATGAAAGAAGTAAGTTTTATTAAAAATCATTTTTTTTTATTTTCTGAGAATTTCATACATGAGTACTGTATTTACATCATTTATACCCCTCCTTTCCCTTCAACTCCTCCTATGTCTCCCCTCCCTCCTTCCCCAATTCATGACCTCTTCAGCTGTTATTTTTACACACACACACACACACACACACACGTGTGTGTGTGTGTGTGTGTGTGTGTGTGAGAGAGAGTCCATGTAGTGTTGCCCATATGTACACGTGTTTAGAGACTGACCACCTGACCACCTGGGATTGGATAACCTACCAGGGAACTTATCCCTGGAGAAATCTAATTCTCTCTTTCTCAGCCCCCTTATTTCCTATAGCTCTTTATAGAGAGGTGGGACCTTGTGAAATTTCTCCCTTCGACTGTCAACTGGTGTGGTCCTTATGCAGATCTTGTTGGCACAATCATATTGTTGAGATTTCATGGGTGTGGCATCCCTGTCTTATCTGGAAGGCATTGTCTTGCAGCTGGTGTCCTGGTCCTCTGGCTCATTATAGTGGTTTGTAGGCCTTACAGCTGGTAGAGCTATTGATTGCTTTTCTCCTTAGTACTTTCAGATTCTATGAGAGCTAGTCCTCAGGGAGGAAGCTTCCAAGTCAGTTCCAGCTGGAATCCTCCAAGTCTTGTGTCCAAAGTGTGTAATGTCTTTAGAGATAGGGTCTCCCTGTAGACACAGCTGGCCTGGAACTCACTATGTAGACCAGTCTGGCCTTGAACTCACAGAGACCCACCTGCCTTGGCCTCTGGAGTGTTGGGAATAAAGACGTCCACCATGCCCTACCTAGCAATAGGGTCTTACCTTCAAGTTCTGGGAGGCAACTAAGAGCAGTGGCAATAGCCTGTATTATTTTAGGAGTCTCATGGACTCCCCTGACCACCAAGTTGAAGGGAGTTTTCCCTTGCCTGGCACTAGATCTTTCTTAGAAAATCTATGGCTCCTGACACAGATGGGGTTGGAAAGAAGAGAAGGCGGGGGCGGGGCAGTTTGGTGACACAGGCACAGGGGACGGGGTGGGGCAGGGATCAACACATTTTCATATGATGTAAGTCCATTACAAATACATATTTATATGCACATGCATGCATAGAATATGTATTTTAAATAAGCTTTTAAAATACTGTTTCCTTATGTCTTTTTCTCTTTTTGAAAAAGATGTATTACCTTTAATCCCAGCACTTGGAAGGCAAACGCAGGCAGATCTCTGTGAGTTCAAGGCCAGCCTGGTCTACATAGTGAGTTCCAGGACATCTAGGACTACAGGGAGACCCTGTCTCAAAAAGACCAAAAAAAAAAAAAAAAAAAAAATGTATTAATTTTTTTTATATAAGACTGGGATCTGCTGTTCATTTTCCCAGTTCTGTGCTGAGTTTTTATCTGCCTGAGTTTGCATGGGATTTGTGTATGCTGACACCATTGGCATAGAATCATATGGTCCTGCACCTCCTCCCTGACCCTTACAATCTTTCCGCCCTCTCTTCCGAGATGGTCCCTAAGCCTTGGGTGGGTGAAGTTTTAATAATAATTTTATGTGTCTATGTGTTTTGCCTGCATGTATGTAAGTGCAGCATGTTTGTGTGTCTGGAGCCCTTGCCTGGAATGAGTTATGGATGATTGTTAGCTGCCCTGTGGGTGCTTGGAATTAAACTCTAGTCCTCTGCAAGAGCAGCAAATGCTCTTAACCACTGAGCCATCTCTCCAGTTCTCCCTATGGCTTTTTCAAACATTCATAATGTTATCGCTCCTTCCTTCCTCTCCCTCTGTATTATCCTACCTGCCCAGTTGAGTTCCCCCTCTCCATTTTTCCTATTTCCCCTTTAATAGAACTTGTATCCTACAGTTCCCCCTCTAGAGCTCTTTTCCCCCTCCTTCTGCCCGCCAGTGGTCCCTTTCTATGTTCCTGGTTTCTGAGGTTGCTCTTAGAGAACATGCAGTGTCTGTTTCTGGGTCTCGCTTGCTTCACTCAGTGTAATATTTTCTAGTTTTCTCCATTTACCTGCCAGTTTCATGATATCATTTTTCTTTTTATCTGAATAGAATTCCATTGTATAAGTGTACCACATTTTCATTATCCATTTATCCATTGGTGGGTATCTAGGTCATTTCCATTTCTTTGCTGTCGTTAGTAGAGTAGCAATGAACATGGATGAGAAATATCTCTGTAGTAGAATACAGAGTCCGTTGGCTGTATGCCAAGGGATAGTCTAGCTGGGCCATGTGGTAGATGTAGTTTTAGCTTTTTGAGAATTTTCCACACTGATTTCCAAAGTAGCTGTACCAGCTTGCAATCCCACCAGCAGTGAATGAGATGCTTTTTATAGAAGAAAAATTCCCAGGATTTGTTATGAACTTAGTCCCTTAATTCCTTCAAGAATTATCAGTAAACATATACTGATTTTCTTATCCTTGCTTAGAAAATTTCATCCCGTAGAATAATCAGGATAAGGCATGGATGAAGCACAGTCAATGTTTATTCTTATCCGAATTATAAAGAGTTGAGACATCAGTAGATTGATAAATAGGTTTGGCACACTTGAAACAGATGTTTTGGTTTGTTTTGCCTTTGTTTTCTTTACAAGTAAATTATCTCAGTTTTCTTCTTACTCTGAATTTCATAAGGTTGCCACATGGCAGTCCTTTAATAGTTATCCCAGCACCCACATGGCAGCTCCGAACCGTCCAGTTCCAGGGGAATCTGAAACCCTGTTCTGACCTCCAAGGCATTGCACGACACAGGTGCACTCACATACATGCAGGCAATACACTCCTACACATAAAATAAAAATAATAAATTTAAAACATTTTTTTAAAAAAACATCGGAAAGAACACAAATAAATGACTTTACACTGCAACTCAAGACTCTTGAAAAGCAACAGCAAAACATTGCACCTCAATACACCTGAAAAGCAACAAGAAATGAAACCCAAACCCATCAGACAAGAAGAAATAACAAAATCAGAGCAGAAATTAAGGAATAGAAACAAATAAAACAATACAAAGAATCAATGAATTTAAGAGCTGGTTCTTTGAAAAGCTAAACAAGATAGACAGACCCTTAGCCCAGTTAACTAAAAGAAAGAGCAAATCCAAATCAACAAAATCAGAGATGAAAGGGGAAACATCGCAACAGATACCAACAAAATCCAAAACATTGTAAGGGAATACCTTAAAAATCTATACTTTATTAAATTTGTGAAAACCTAAAAGAAATGGATGAATTTCTAAAAGCATGGGAACCATCAAAACTAAATCAAGAAGAGATAAACAGCTTAAACAGACCCATAATGCATAAGGAAATTGAAACAGTAATACAAAACCTCCTGACTAAAAAAAGCCAAGGACTGGATGGATTTACAGCAGAATTCTATCAGACATTTAAAGAAAATCTATATTCAACACTACTTAATGTATTCAAAGAGATAGAAATGGAGGGAGACCTTCCAAATTCCTTCTATGAAGCCAGCATCATTCTAATATCAAAACCACATAATTTTAAATCTTTAAGGAAAGAGATTGAGGATGATACCAGAAGATGGAAGGACCTCCTATGCTCTTGGATTCGAAGAAGTAATATTGTGAAAATGACCATCCTACCAAAAGCCATTTATAGATTCAATGCAGTTCCAATCAAAATCCCCATGACATTCTGCACAGGATTGGTAAAACCATCCTAAAATTCATATGGAAGCACAAAAGACATTGGATAGCCAAGGCAACCCGGAGCAATAAGAGCAAAGCTGGGGGGATTACTCTACCAGATTTTAAATTATATTACAGAGCTATAGTCATAAAAACAACATGGAACTGGCACAAAAATCAACACCTTAAACAGACCCATAATGAATAAATGAAACAAAATGGAAGACCCAAATATGATTACATGCAATTGCAGACACCTGATATTTGACAAAGGAGCCAAGAACATTGACTGGAGGAAAGACAGCATGTTTAGCAAAGAGCCTGGCAAAACTGGATCTCCATCTGTAGAAGCATGAAACTAAACTCCTATCTTTCACTTTGCGTAAAAGTCGACTCCAAATGGATCAAATACCTCAATATGAAGCCAAATTTCAAATTTTTCAAAGTTGGTTGTTAAGTAGATGTATTCTGTATGTTTATAATTATATGAAAATAAAGGTAATGTATATGAGAAGGTATTTTGCTTTACACTTACTATTTGTGCTCTTGTGGTTATTTATGTCTTGAGAGAAGCACTGTTTTATTGTGTGCTATTGTATCTTTTCACAACTTTATATTGTAGCTGGAAATCAGCCACCATGGGGATAATTTATATTGTGCAAATTAGCAAGCAAAGCACATTACTGCTCTGCTTTATCAGGCTACTTTTAACATTTTTGCCAACTAAAATATGTCTAAACTTTGGAGGTTCAATAAATTTTGTATATTCTGCTTGGCAAAAGAAAATTATATGGAAAAAGCTGCAAATAGAGCTTGACTTCATTATACTAGTTTTCTCTCTTTTGTGCATTAAAACCCTAATTGTATGCAGTAGCACTTTGAAGCACTCAGGAAACAGAAGCAGAGACAGACTGATCTCTGTGAAATCAAGACCAAGCCTGCTCTACATAGGCGTACCAGGCCAGACCCTGTCTCAAACTAAAAGGGGGGGGGGTTCCATTTTTGAACTTTGATCATAAGTTCTCATAACTTTGATCATAGTTTGGAATTATCTTATAAATGTTTAACCTATTAGTATGTCTTTTAACCTTAGGCTAAATTCTAACTGTATTCAAATGTGACATCTCTTCAGTTATTTAAACACCAATAATTTTCTCTTCCCCCCTCCAATGTTTTCTGTTCTTTAAGACTTCTCAGTTGTTTGTACTGCTTCCCCTGTCATCCTGATATGATGACGTTTAAGGTGGGTAGTAGTGTGGAATGGAGTGGTTAGGGAGAAAGGGATTGCTTCTTTTTCCTAGTTTAGCAAACATTTATTGATTGCCACTATGTGTCAGGCCCTTGTATGAAATTCAGCAGTAGGTCAAGCAAACAGGTCCCTTGCTCTCATGGAACTTGGAGCCAAGGCAGCTAATTGTGTCACAGATAGTGGAAATGCTTGCGAGGAAGAGACTGGTGTAAAACTTTGTGGGGGTGTTCCTAATCCCACCACAGTGGGGGAGAGAATGGTTTAGGGGTGAAGTGAAGGCATAAAGGTAAGCAGAGTAGAAGAAAAAAGATGGTGGGTGAAGGAAGGAGGCCTCCAGCTAGAAAAGAGTATTCTTCAGCACCGGAAGAAAAAGAATTACACGTGGCTTTAAGTATTATGGGAACTGATACAGAATAAGGTGGCAGAGGTGACAGTTTATGACTATGCTGAGTAGTCATAAACAAGTGGAAGATTTCTTGTAATTTTTATGATTCTAACATTGTTTCTTATTTAGAATCATTCTTTCTTTCCATCTTAAAAATATTTTTTCTAATTGGAAATCATATAACCCAACATTTGCTTTCTTTTTAACTGAATGTCATTTTGGCAAAGTGGAAAATTTAAATACAGAAGCACAAACCTCATTTTACAACAATTGTAGCATGACATGGTCCTGGTGTCTGACTGTTTAGGATTAGCATTTATCTTCTAAAACTTAATAGCTGTGTGTCCATGAAAAACTTACTAATCATATTTTTGCCTGAATTCTCTCACTTTTAAAATGTACCTATCAACTTTATGAAGATTAAAAAAATACTTTCAAGTTTTAAAACAGTGTGACATAAAGTCAGTACCAATAAATGTGGCATGTTGTAATTCATGTTGCTTTTACTCTTATCAACAGTTTGATAGAGTTTCTGTGAATTTTATTGAAATTAAAAATTACACATAGAGTTGAAACTCATTTTATCTCTTCTTGGTTGCTTTTTATAAGATGAATTTTTCCAAGCTACATCTTTTTCCCCCACAAAGATTTCCTTGTATACTAATTTTCTATCTCTCTTACACCAGTTTCTCTTCAAGAATCTCAAAAAAGGAGCTGAAGAGATGGCTCACTGGTTAAGAGCACTGGCCACTCTTACAGAGGGTCTGGATTGAATTTCCAGCACCCACATGGCAGCTAACAATGGCCTGTAACTTCGGTTCCAGGGGATCTGATGCCCTATTCTAGTCTTGACACAGGTGCACTTGTATACATGCAGGCAAAACACTCATACAAATAAATAAATAAGTAAATATATAATAAATTTATAAAACAATCTCAGCAAATTGGTTTGAATACCTTTCCTCTGAACTTAAAAACCCATTCTTCTTGGCCTGTTAGTAAAT